TAAAAAAATCAATAAAATATATATTTTTTAAAAAACAAACAGTGTTGACATCTTCCAATTTTATAAATTGTGTAACAAATTACAACTTGTTTTTGTGGCCCTCTCCCTGACCCCCCACCCCCATCACTATGTTTTAAGAGCAAAATATTACCTACCACATTTTCTATGGGGAAAAAAAAAAATCTAAGCTCCAGGTCTCATACTTGCCTCCAATATAATTTCCTAATACTTCTCATATCTGTCAAATAGATTGGTCTATTCATTATTCCCTTAAAATCATCAAACCCTGCCCTTGACACCATTCTCAATGCTCAGCTTCCTAAGGGCTACTTTTTCTTTCCTTCAAGTCACAGCTCAGACCCTTCTGCTTATAAACCTTCCCAAACAATCTAAGTCAGTGCTGCCCAATAGAAATATAATAAAACCCATGTGTGTAAATCTAACACTTCCAGTAGCCACATTTAAAAAAGAGACATAGCCCAGCTGGCATGGCTCAGTGGTTGAGCACAGACCACTAGGAACCAGGAGGTCTCGGGTTCGAATCCCAGTCAAGTCACATGCCTGGCCTGTGGGCTCAATCCCCAGTAGGGCGCATGCAGGAAGCAGCCAATCAATGATTCTGTCTCATCATTGATGTTTCTATCTCTCTCCCTCTCCCTTCCTCTCTAAAATCAATAAAAGTATATTTTTTAAAAAGAAAGAAACAGTCAATGTAAAAATATTATCAATGAGATAGTTCACATTCTTTTTTCATACTGAGTCTTTGATATCCAGTGTATTTTTTACATTTACAGCACATGATGATTTGGACTAGCCACATAGTGTTCATAACTGCATGTGGCTAGTGGCTGCCACAGACAGTGCAGGGCTAAGTCCCCAGTGATTGCTCTCTTGGTTTCTAGATTTTGTTTGGCATTTACCACAGTAATTTCACATTTATCCCGTCCTCCCGACAACATGTTAAGGCCTTTTCTATCTTTTCATATTCCTAGCTCCTCTGGCAAAGGGATCAGCTCTCTCTGATTAGATATTTCACATTTCTGGATATTTGCACAACGCACAACATATTCAAGGTAATATCCTATTTCGAATAATATTCCATTCATTTGCTTAAATGTAGTTACAGCCCTTTCAGTGACAAAGTCAATAATGAAAAAATACTTTTAAATGGTAAAAATACCAAGCTAATTGGATGCTAAGGAAGAGTTTCCAACAAGGAAGTGAACTTGTAAGACAAAAGGAACCCATTGCGTCCATAATTCAATTGTTTTACTACAGAAAAGTAAACGAATCTCTCTGGGTTTTGGTAACCTCCTGTGAAAATTGTATTTGTCCTCTCTGTCTCCAGGGTCATGAAAACTTGCTTGATAAAAATAAGTTTGAGGGCAGTGATGACTTTTAAACACTAACCCCAGTAGCAAGTTTAATGTCTTACCCATTCCCCAGGTGCAGCCCATTTCATCATCTTGGCCAGACGTATTTCTCTTCCTTTCCGTGGTATCCATGTCCTCATCCTCATCTGAGTCTTCCCCCAGCATCTTCTTCTCCAACATCATCTGCTGCTTCTTGCGCAACTCCTTCAACTGCGTGACCGTCAACTCGGACTCTGCCTCTCGGTCCTCCTCTGGTCCCTGATGAACCAAGCGAAGGCATGCTTTTAGAGTTCAGGATCGCTGGCGTCCCTTTCAGAGAAACGGCAATGTGTTGTGAGGTTTGGAGGGGAGGGGCCAGCTTCCTCCACTTTTGCGATCGCTGACCAGGGGCATCTCCTTCCTTCGGGAGCTCAGGAAGCCAGCCCGCTGCGCTCCAGAGATTTCCCGTCTAGGTGTTCCTACTTACCTGCAGGAGAAAGAGCCGGGTGCTGCAGCCGAAGCGAAGAACATGCCCGACGTGGACCCGACAGTAGGTGCGGGGCGGGATGCGGGCTTTGTTAAGGAAGGTGCCGTGAGTGCTCCCCAGGTCGTAGAGGTAGAAGCCGGGCCCGTGGCCGTCCGGCTGTCCGTCGGGGCCGCCCCCGTGCTGCAGAACCGCGTGGAACCGGGACACGGACGGGTGCTCCAGGCACACGTCGCAGCTGGGCAGCCTCCCGAAGAGGCAGCGACGGGTCCCTGTCAAGCTGCGGGTGCCCAGGATCGTGCCGCCCTTCAGGGTCTCGAGGCTGTAGGGGCCCGTGACGGGGCCGCCCCACGGCGGCTCTTGGTAAGGGGGGGCCCGGGCCGGGCCGGCGGGAGCAGGCGCCGCTGTAGGGGGCCGCGGCTTCTCCTCCGGGGGACCCCCCGTCTCCGCGCGCTCCGGCCCAGCCGGAGGGACGTCGGACTCCCCGGAATCCGGGTCCGGCAGTGCCGGGGACCCCTCCTTCACCTCCTCGGGGTTGGAAGGATTGGCGGCCGGGAACTTGCCCCGCACCGCCGGCGGCACCGGCAGGCCTGGCTTTTTGAAATCGCCATTGAGTTCTTCTTGTGAAGCCGTCGGCTCAGCCAAAGGAGTATCGGCCATCCTTAACCGGACGCAGCCTCCAAAGCCGCCCCCGGGGAAACCTCACCCCTCGGCCCCTACGTTCCGGCCCGCGCCCCTCTCTCCCCGGCTCCCGGCGCCGCTCTCGGCAGCGATCGTGCGCGTGCGTGAAGAGAGCGCCGCGAAGAGGGAGGCAAAAAAGGCGGCGGGGGAGCTGTCAGGTGGGGACGCGTTTAGAGGTTGCACACCGGGTTCTAAAGACTTCCGGGTCCCCGGTTACCAGAAGCGCTTCCGGCAGCCTGGGACCCCTGATCCACACACCAGCCTGCGGAGCCTGAAGTCGTCCCCGTCGTCCCCGCCGCGGGCCCCTGGAGCCGATCCGCAGCCCGGCCGCGCCCCCACCGCGCGCCAGGGAACCGCGGCGCCTTCTGGCCTCCATCCGGGACCAGACCTTCCCTGTTTCCCTGCTGCCCCGGCCATCAGGCGACGCCAGGACTCCGCCATCTGTGCCTGCGCCCGCCGAGGAGCTCCCGAGGCATGGGGCATTCATTCCTTGGGCTTGGTGCCTGTTCTTAGTACTTCTTTCGGTGAAGTTAGGGGAAAGGGCGGCTTTGTGTTCACTTCTTCCATTCGGTAATTCGTTCATCCTTGTATTCTTTGCAAAACCAGTTACTGAGACAGCATCGTCAAGCGGTTCCGAGTTGCAGATTCGGAAGCCTGGCTTGATTTTTTACCCCTTGGCCATTTGTGACAGTGGACAAGACAGTGGGCCTCAGCTTCCACATATGAAAAATGGGATAATAAAAGTATCTACTTCATTGGGAAGTTGGGAAAATTGAATTAAACAATAGAGGCAAAGTCTGGCATATAGGAAGCACTCAGTAAATTCCAGATATTACTTGTGAGCCTGACACTATATACTAAGATGATGGTTTTGAGAGATAGATAGGAAATAAAACCAGTTGAGGTAAGTACTAGTTTATATCCAGGGATAAATGCTGTGAACAAACAGGTAAAGTGCTGTGAGAATATAATGGAGGGAGATGTGCAGGGGAGGTTATGGAGGGTAGTGACTTAAGCTATACAAGAACGAGTACAAGTCTACCAAGGATGTCATGGAATTTCTGGCAGAGAAATGCCTTAAAGAGTCAAATGTGGGAATTCATGGCATTCTTAGGAAACTGGGTAGTATGATATTGCTAGAATTGAGAGGGTCCTTTCCTCCGGGATCCTTTATGGACTTCCACTGCAGCATGTGTGGGCCTCCAGAACAACACTTATCACATATTTTCATATTGAAATGTTCTTTTCATGTTTCTCTCCCTCACCTCAGATCAGGGATTTTGCATTGGTCTTTGTCTCCTCCCATAATGCTTGGCATTTGATAAATGTTTGTTGAACTTGAAGAAACATATATGAGCAATGAATCTGGAAAGCTGGGTTGCAGACAGATTTTGAATTCTGTTGAATGGTAAGCCGAAGAATTCTGACTGGCTTTTCCCAATAGGCAGTGGGAAGCCATTAATCTGGGTGGGTTTTGTTGTTGTTGTTTTGTTTTTTTAAATATATGTTATTGATTTTTTACAGAGAGGAAGGGAGAGGGATAGAGAGTTAGAAACATCGATGAGAGAGAAACATTGGTCAGCTGCCTCCTGCATACTGCCCACCGGGGATGTGTCCCCCAACCAAGGTACATGCCCTTGACCAGAATTGAACCTGGGACCCTTCAGTCCACAGGCCGACGCTCTATCCACTGAGCCAAACCGGCTATAGCTAATCTGTGTTTTTTAAAGAGTAAGTTTAGCAGCACTGGAGAATAAGTTAGACACAAAGAGAGATTGGAGGAAGGGAGTCCCAGTTAGGAATCAACAGAAATGTCTCAAGATTCTTCCAGAAATTAAACATGTTAAGATTACTGTTAATACATTTTCCACCGAGACCAGTTAAAAGTTCCCATACCTGACGTGCAGAATGAGAACCACCTCTTCCTGTTTTTAACTTGACTCCCTTTTCTCCTGCTGATCCAGGACATATGTGTCAAGATACTCTGAGACCCTGATGTTGATTGTGCATATAATCCAGTTTAATAATAAATATCATTTATTGAAAGAAAAAAAAGATACTCTGAGAGGTATTTCAGGTCTCATTTAAGTAACTGGGTTTGCAGATTGTTCAGGATTGGGAATGATGGTGATTCTGGTAGTAAGTTAGTGGAGTGAGATGGAAAATAGAGTCGCAGATGCTATAATCCAAATTCCACCTTGTGGTTCTTCAGTCCGGTAGGTATTATCACCATGTGTGATTTGATGACTGTTATGTAACAGTTGTATTTCTCTTAATTTCTGCAGGGAGAACATCTTTATTCCTACAGTTGCTGACACTGACATTTTTCTAAGTGGTCTTGAACAGCCTACTTTTTATGTAAATAACAACTAGACTTCATATCTTTCACTTCAGAAACCTATAAGCTACAGCTGCCAGAGAGTTAAAAACACTACTTTTGGGATATCATCTACATCTAACTTGAAAGCTCTTCTTATTTAAAAATGTTGAGATACTGGGGAGAGATACCAATCTCATCCAGCCAGACCAACAGAAGTTCCTTTGATTTGCTGCCACGGGAGTTCCGCCTGGTGGAAGTCCATGACCCACCCCTGCACCAACCCTCAGCCAACAAGCCCAAGCCCCCTACGATGCTGGATATCCCCTCAGAGCCATGCAGCCTCACCATTCATACCATCCAGCTAATCCAGCACAACCGACGTCTGCGCAACCTCATTGCGACAGCTCAGGCCCAGAATCAGCAACCGACGGAGGGAGTAAAGACTGAAGAGAGCGAACCTCTTCCCTCTTGCCCGGGGTCACCTCCTCTTCCTGATGACCTCCTGCCTTTAGATTGTAAGAATCCCAATGCACCATTCCAGATTCGGCACAGTGACCCGGAAAGCGACTTTTATCGGTAAGTTAAGGGTTTACTACACTGAGGAGCCAGATTATTATGATCTCTGCATAATAATCTGGCCATTAAAATATATATATTTATTTATTTATTAAAAGACTGGTGCATGAATTTGTGCATGGGTGGAGTCCGGCCAGCCTAGCCAGGGGGAGGGGACATGGGTGGTTGGCTGCCCTGCTTGCTGGTTGAACTCCTGGTAGAAGGGACAATTTGCATATTAGCCTTTTATTATATAGGATATACACTTAGTGACCAGATTATTATACATTCAGAGCATATCTACTATTCTCAAAAATTCTTTCCAACAACTGTGTTAAACATGCAATAACGTTTCCATGAGGAAACTAAGAGTCACTGACTTGGCCAAAGTTGCTCAGGTAATTAATGGGAAGTCTAAGACTTGAATTCTGACCTCCAAAATTCAGAGTCTGTATTTTTTTTTTCTGATGCAACAAATATTTATTGAGTGCAAACTATGTACCATGCACTTTACTAGGAGCAAGGTATTACACTGTGTAAAACAGGCCAGCGTGGATTTAGCTCAGTGTCCTCAAATAGAGATTCATAGTTATTCTGGCATTTTTATTCTGGGATTTTTAAGTGATTTATTTTCATTTTGATAACATAGTTTAAGGAATAATAATATAAAAATATCCTGGGTCCTTGCTACTCAATATCTAGTTGAACGCCAGCAGCATCTGCATCTCCTGGGAGCTTGTTAGAAATGCAGTGTCAGCCCTAACAGGTTTGGCTCAGTGGATAGAGCGCTGGCCTGTAGACTGAAGTGTCCCAGGTTCGATTCCAGTCAAGGGCATGTACCTTGGTTGCCAGCACATCCCCAGTAGGACGCTCTATCCACTGAGCCAAACCAGTCAGGGCAATAATAGTACTATTGTATTTGTTGCAAACTAATGAGGAAAGAACAGGAATAAATATAATATGTAAAAGTTGCAGTGGGCCAAATGAAGGCAAGATAATGTCACTGAAGTCTTTGGAATAGTTAATGTGGGAGGAATAACTATGTAATGACGTGTGGCATATTCTTATAGAGATGCCCAACTTAAAAACACTTGCTCTAAAGCCATCAGTGCCATTTTGAGGGCAATTTAGTGGTAACAAAATAATAACGTCCATCATAGTAAATTCATGGTGTTATTTAGAATTTTGCAGTTTGTGTCAAATTTCTAACTTTGTTAAAACTATAAATATCCAACATTCATTCCTAGTTTGTTTTATACACATTTAAGAAGCTAACAAAAATAATTTGCATCAAGTATGGGAGTGCCAAAAAAATTATTCTCCTTTGAAAATATATAGGTCCATATATTACTCAAGAGAAGCTATCTGTTTATTAGGCATTTCTGAGGCCTAAAGCATTTGGCATCGATACTGGCCTGGGAAATGATGATGGAAATAGTATTATAAATGAAAAGTTATTTGGCAATTGGTGTTCTTATAATCCAACTATTGTGTGGATTGCAGTAGTTGCTACTGAGCAGATAACAGTACAGTGGGCGCATAGCTCCTCCAGCACTCTTTGTACAAATAGTGACACATGCCAAGTGTGGAGCAGAGGAGAATCATTCTCTGTTTCCTACTTTTTATATTTTAACTACTACTTTCAAGGGGAGACAGAGGATAGATAGGAAATTTCAGGAAACAGGTACATTATTACAGGATTGTTAGAAATTATTTTTGGAGATCAGACAGCTTTTTGAAGTTTTTTCTTGGAGAGATTAAGATGTGTGCAATTTGTTGTATCATAATGAGCATGGGATCTGGAGCCAGAAGCTCCACATGACACTTATTATTAATTCCCAAACAACTTGTGGCAAGTGAGCCCCTCTGAGGCTGTTTCCTCACCTGCCAAATAGGAATAATAATATGGCTTCTACCCATTTCACAGCATAGGAGAGCATAAAAGTGCTGTGTAAGTGGTATATGTTTTAAGTTGCTTTTAAAAAATTGAGTTGTTGGCGGGACCGGTTTGGCTCAGTGGATAGAGTGTCGGCCTGCGGACTGAAAGGTCCCAGGTTTGATTCCAGGCAAGGGCAAGGGCATGTACCTTGGTTGCGGGTACATCCCCGGTGGACGGTGTGCAAGAGGCAGCTGACCAATGATTCTCTCTCATCGATATTTCTAACTCTATCCCTCTCTCTTCCTCTCTGTGAAAAATCAATAAAATATATTTTTAAAAAATAATAAAAATAAAAAATTGAGTTGTGCCGAAACCGGTTTGGCTCAGTGGATAGAGCGTCAGCCTGCGGACTGAAAGGTCCCAGGTTCGATTCCGATAAAGGCATGTACCTTGGTTGCAGGCACATCCCCAGTAGGGGGTGTGCAAGAGGCAGCTGATCTATGTTTCTCTCTCATGGATGTTGTTAGCTTTCTATCCCTCTCTCTTCCTCTCTATAAAAATTCAATAAAATATATATTTTTAAAAATTGAGTTGTTTGAGGAAAATCCAAGATGGCTGCACAGGTAAACACCTAGCCGCAGCCGCACACAACAATTTCAATAAAATACAACTAAAATATAAAATGGACATTACCCAGAACTACAGGAAAGTTGACTGACTGGAAATTCCTTAACGAGAAGCAAGGAGAAAACCAGAAGGAAGAGCAGAAGAACTATAAAAGCCTAAGGTACAAGACACGCTGCTCGAGCGGAGAGGAAGGGCAGGACGGCCGAGTGCCTGGCTGGCGTTCCCTACCAGGAAGGAGATAAAAGCTCCGACTGTGCTGGGCCCCAGTTCCGACTGCTCCGAACCCCAGTTCTAGGCCAGACCCCGGGGACCCAGGCTCAAACAGAGGGAGCTGGGCTGTAAGGCGGAATCCTGGGGGAGCGGCGAAAGGAGGTCCCGGAGGTGCGTACATTGCGCGCAGAGAAGGGACGGTTGGCTGTGCTGCGGGATTGCCCTGGCAGAAGGAGAATGGGGCTCCAGACTGTTCTGAACGCCACCTTCAACCCCACTTCCATCTGAACTGAACCCCAATACTGGGCTCATTGGGGGAGAGCCTAGACTGTTTGGTAGCAGGCGAAAATCGAAGGCACCTTTCTCAGAGGCGCTTGCAATGAGAACTGAAGGACCCTAAGATTCAGGAGCCACATAGGGCGGGGCTGACTGAAGCCAAAGCTGTAGCTCCACCCTGAAACCCCACCTCATCAGGGAAGCTGCGAAAATGCCCAGGCAAAATAGATCACAAATGAAAGAAATGGAGGACAAAAAGCAACTGGATATAGAGTTCAAATCTACGCTTATAAGGTTTTTCAAGAATTTCCTAGAAAAGGTTGATAAGACCTATGAGGATATGAAAAGGGATCAACTAGAATTAATAAGGAATCAACAAGAAATGATAAGGGATCAACAAGAAATAAAGAATACATTGACTGAAATAAAAAATATTATACAGAGTCCTAAAAACAGAATGGAAGATTGCAAGAATCAAGTCAAAGATTTGGAACATAAAGAGCCAGAAGACACTCCTCCACAGAAGAAAGAAGGCAAGAGAATCCAGAAAATTGAAGATAATGTAAGAAACCTCAGGGACAACTTCAAGCGAACCAACATCAGAATTATGGGGGTCCCAGAAGATGAGAGAGAGCAAGATATCGAAAACATACTGAAATAGTGACAGAAAACTTCCCCCACCTGGTGAAAGAATTAGACTTACAAGTCCAGGAAGCACACAGAACTCCAAACAAAAGGAATCCAAAGAGGACCACACCAAGACAAATCATAACTAAAATTCCAAGAGCAAAAGACAAAGAGAGAATATTAAAAGCAGCAAGAGCAAAGCAGGTAGTTACCTATAAAGGAGCACCTATACGATTGTCAGCTGACTTCTCAACAGAAACCATGCAGGCCAGATGGGAATGGCAAGAAATATTCAAGGTGATGAATAGTAAGAACCTACAGCCAAAGATAATCTATCCAGCAAAGCTATCACTCAGAATTGAAGGTCAGATAAAGAGCTTCACTAATAAAAAAAAGCTAAAGGCGTTCATCACCACCAAACCAGAATTATATGAATTGCTGAAGGGGGTTCTTTCAGAAGAGAGAGTAAATAAAGATAAAAATTATGAACAACAAATACGTAACTATCAACAAGTGAATCTAAAAACCAAGGAAATTTTTAAAAAATCTGATGAATAATATTAACTGTTGAATATAATAGAATCAGAGGTATGCAAGGGGAGTGAACTGACGATTCTTGGGGAGAAGGGGTTGTGGGAAGAGACTGAACATAAACTGTGCATTATGGATGAGGACAATGGGGAGTGGGGAAAGGACAGAGGGTGGGGTGGGAACCTAGTGGAGGAGAGCAATAGAGGGGGTGGGGAAGGAACATTTGTAATAATTTGAACAATAAAAATTTATTTTTAAAAAAAATTGAGTTGTTTTCCAAGTTTTACAAATGTCTGTTGCCATTATATAAGAATCTCCTGATTGGGACTGTAAATTTCTGAAAAGCCATATGTTGCCCAGCATATAAGGAAACTATGTTCTAGTGAAATAACCCAAACACCACTGAGCAGTGTCTGAGCTCTACTGTTAAAGTCAGTCAGATCCTAACAGTAATCAAAATGGAGCCACTGGTATAAGAAGGAAACTTGCTTTTTACTAGACACCCTTTTACACTGTTTCTTATAGGCATAAATTGCCTGTGCAAGCTTTCTGTAATTGGAGGAGCTCAGGGATAAGACTATGGGCTGCTTAGCCATGCCCCATCAAGCATTAAAGAAGACTAGGCTATGTCACTGCATAGAATGTTCTGGAAAGCTGGGCCAGTGGTTTGATGGGAATTGTAAAATGTCTAGGGAGACAGGCCAGGTCACCCTTTTGCAGGAGCACCAGTAACACTACTCCCCTGTGTCTGCTTTCAGTGGGAAAGGGGAACCTGTGACTGAACTCAGCTGGCACTCCTGCCGGCAGCTCCTCTACCAGGCAGTGGCCACCATCCTGGCCCATGCTGGCTTTGAGTGTGCGAATGAAAGTGTCCTGGAGACCCTAACTGATGTGGCACATGAGTATTGCCTCAAGTTCACCAAGTTGCTACGCTTTGCTGTGGATCGGGAGGCCCGACTGGGGCAGACCCCTTTTCCTGACGTCATGGAGCAGGTGTTCCATGAAGTGGGCATCGGCAGCGTGCTCTCTCTCCAGAAGTTCTGGCAGCACCGCATCAAGGACTATCACAGCTACATGCTGCAGGTGAGGTGACGCTGTGGAGAACGCAGTGTAGGGTGTTCAGCTGGATCCCACAATTGCGGTAGAATGCAGAGCACGGGATCTTGGAACAGAGGACATAACCTACTTTCCTCATGGCCCTAGATGAGATTCACTGGCCCCACCACTGGCCTGGCCAGACAGAACAGTGAAGTGATACTGCCCACGGGTGGGAAGGCAGGGAGAGAGACACCATTTTGGATTAGACCCAGAAATATCTCATCTCTTAATCACTGTGGCCTTATGCAAGCAATCTGCCCCCTGTATGGGTTTCCCCAAATCTAAAATATAAGGAATTTTTTTTTAATTTTTTTTTAAATATACTTTATTTTGTACAGAGAAGAAGGGAGAGAGATAGAGTGTTAGAAATATCGAAGAGAGAGTCATAGATCAGCTGTCTCTTGCACACCCCTACTGGGATATGCCCGCAACCAAGGTACATGCCCTTGACCGGAATCGAACCCGGGACCCTTTAGTCCCCAAGCCGACGCTCTATCCATTGAGCCAAACCGGTTTCGGCTCATAAGGAATTTTTAACACCCAACAAAAAGTCTCTGCTAGGTGATCCAGAGTCTCTATACTATTCATTACCCACCTGGGGTACGTATGTTAACTGTTACTTTTATATCCAAAAATGTGATCTTTTGTCCCATTTCTGATCTATATTTTTCACCTTTATGTAACTTAATGACACACACACTTTTGAGAAGCTGCTTTTGTTAGACAGCTTCTTTAAAATTTTACTTACCTGTCTATCATTTACAAAGGCAAACTCAACCTCTAAAGCAGATTCCTTCCATTGGCAGTGGTGCTTTCTACATATTCTCTTGGCTTTCCCATACTATCTAACTTGTTCCTAACAATTCCTTGGAAAATTGTCTCTTACTTGCCAACAGATTAGTAAGCAACTTACTGAAGAGTATGAAAGGATTGTCAACCCTGAGAAGGCCACAGAGGACACGAAACCTGTGAAGATCAAGGAGGAACCTGTGAGTGACATCACCTTCCCCATCACTGAGGAACTGGAGGCTGACTTGGCTTCTGGAGACCAGTCCCTGCCCATGGGAGTCCTCGGGGCTCACAGTGAGCGCTTCCCATCTAACCTGGAGGTGGAGGCTTCACCGCAGGCTTCAAGTAAGAGAAATCCACTTATACTTGGTTCTGGGACACCCAGCAATCTCTTCTCTTTACCTTATGGAATTATACTCTGGAGAACAAAAGCGGGAGAGGGCAGGAGAATGAAAAGTCTAAAGACAAGTACAGCTTCACTGATCTAGTGATACCAACATTCTTCTCTTTATAATCAGAGGGCAGCATTTTTTAAATAATTCCCAGTTAGGATATGGATGTGATATTTTGTTCTACTGATTACAAGTTAATTCAGCTGGCCCAGCTAGGTAGGCAGATGTCCCCTCCCTCCCTTAGTATCTGTGTTGTTCCTTCCTGGTGCTTGTACTCAATTAACTTCCAGAACAAATGAGAAGTGTTAATTGCTCAAGAATATTTGAATAGCTGGGCTTCCTTGCTAGAGTAACGCAACAAATTGGAACTAAAAGCGCTTGCAAGGGGCTGCACAGGCAGCTGGCCCCTTCTTGCAGATAGAATCTGAGATGACCTTACAAACCAGGATGACTTGATGCTTAAGTCAGTTAGATTGCAGTTAGTCTAGACACTTGGTTCTTTACAAATATAAATTGTCATTTCATCAGTGCTCAAAGGAAGCAAGCAGCAAATCCTCCAGTGTGGAATGAACAGAATTAGGCCACATTTCTTACAACCGTTTGGCAGTCTTTCACCATGGAGGAATAACCACCGAACAGCATTGCTAGAACACACAGAGGGCCTTGTTGCAGACTTAGTGGCCATGTCTCTTTTCAGCAGTCCATGAACTGCCTGCATTTTGGAGAAATCACTAACTTTTCATGATGAGATAGGACCAGGGACGCAAACAAAAGGTAGGAAAACAAGGCAGTCCCATGGAAGGAAGGAAGGACAAGCAAACATACTGAACAAGAGCCTGTGGCTGTGCCTGCCTTTGGGCCATGAGACAGGGAATCTTCCCACTTGCGCACCAGCTTTACTTCCCTGGTTCAGGAAAATGGGAGTGGGTGAGGGAGGGTAAAGGAGGGAGGAGGAGAAAGTGGAAAGAGAACTATAACTGTATTCTCCAGCCAAGTAGTCAAAATGTAAGCTGAGCTCAAAGGCCATCAGTCTGTCCTGGATAGGATATTCATTCTACTTTGCTCCAGCCTTGGCTTACCAGTACAGTAGGTCCTTGGGTTATGTTGGAGATCTGTTCCTACAGCGCAATGTAAAGCGATTCTCACTGTAAGTCAGAACCCACCTACATAAGCACGTACATCACTCACATGGAGCACACAGCAGCAATTAAATGAAACAGTAAAAAAAATTAAGATAACAATTCCTGACTTTACTTGTGATAAATAATAAAAAACGTAAAGCACGTATGAACATACATCAAAATGACGAAACTTCCTTTTTTTTATATAAATGGGAGATGGCGACGTAACACGAGGACTGCCTGTAATTACATGTTCTTCCATTTTTAGGTGCAGAGGTAAATGCTTCCCCGCTTTGGAATCTGGCCCACGTGAAAATGGAGCCTCAGGAGAGCGAGGAAGGCACTGTCTCTGGGCACGGGGTGCTGGGCAGTGATGTCTTTGAGGAGCCCATGTCAGGCATGAGTGAAGCTGGAATCCCCCAGAGCCCGGATGACTCCGACAGCAGCTACGGCTCCCACTCCACTGATAGCCTCATGGGGTCCTCCCCTGTTTTCAACCAGCGCTGCAAGAAGAGGATTAGGAAAATATAAAAGGAAAAGAGATTTTCTGTCCAAACCTACAAACCCAATAGAAAACCTGACATATTCAAATTTGTTTCCAGAGTGACTTGACTCTTAAACACAGTGGACTTTCCTGATTTCCGTGAAACTGGACTTAACCAAGCAGGTTTGCATATTACTTTTGCATTCAGTTTTTGTAATTTTCCACAACAACCAAGCCACATTTTACAGTTATGTAATCAGGAGATCACATACAGTGGTAATCAGGAGATCAAAGCACTGTCTTTGACGGCTTCCTTGTGACTAGACTAATTGCTTAGCTCTTCTAAGGCCATTTCTCCTGCACAATGAGAACTGGACCACTTTGACCACATTGCAGGGCTGCCGTGAAGATTAAGATGCTATTAAACCGCAAAGTTGTGCTTGAATAACTCACAAGTAAATGTATGTTGGTATCAGGTGTCAGTTTTTTTTTAATTTAATTTACTTCATTTTTGGTTGTCATTGGGAATCCCATACTAACACCTAGCAAGAAATAGCTAAGCTCTGCACAACTTATTCATCGAAGACTTTTTAAAACTTCTGTTGCCTATGAAGTCTCATAAAATCAGGTATGTGTAACAGCCTTTTTGCTTATTCAGACAACCCTCTCCTATCTCATCCACAGATTTTTTCTTGCTTCTTTAGTTTTGTTCCATCTATTCTCATCTTTGTCTTTATTTCCACTAAGATTTTTAAAATATTTTCTCTATAACATTTATTCAGTTGCCTCTTTTGTGAATAAAACAAATAGGAACTGTCCAAAGACAGGTTTGTGCTTATTTTATTTGTTGCATCTGCTTGGCCATCAGTCCCATTGCTTTGCCAGAATTCTGCATCTGCAAACTGCTTCTGCTAGATGGGGTTCTACTGTACATCATATCCTGAACAACTTTACAGTTGTCACTCATCCATTCCATACTACCCTACTGAGCATCTGATAGTCTTAATCAGTATTTATTATGTAAACGATGCAGCATTAGAATAATTAGGGGTAATTAGCAAATATGTGCTTTATGCCTTGGTAACAGGTGCCGGCATGTTAAATTCTGCTGAATTTACAAATGCAGATTACAAATCTTGTGCAATTTAGAGCACTCCTTTAATCAAGACCAAAATTAAGACTCTGTGCCTGGCCTTATGGAGCATATACTGTAGGCCAGAGGTCGGCAAACTGCGGGTCACAAGTTACGGTTTGCCACTCTGTTGACTGAGTTTGCTGACCACTAGACTCTAGATTCCAATAATTACAGGATTTTGTTGTTCCTTGTGATTGAGTGTAGGCCATACAAGTTTTGTTGTTTGTTTTTAATATATTTTATTGATTTTTTTACAGAGAGGAAAGGATAGGGAAAGAGAGTTAGAAACATCAATTAGCTGTCTCTTGCACATCTCCTACTAGGGATGTGCCCACAACCAAGGTACATGTCCTTGCCGGAATCAAACCTGGGACCCGTCAGTCTGCAGGCTGACACTCTATCCACTGAGCCAAACCAGTTAGGGCAATAAAGTTATTCTTTAAGGAAAAAGTATTCAGAGGTACTAAAGGGAAAACCAGGTATGTTCAGAGTTTTGCTGTGCAAATGGTTTCCTCTTATAGATTCAAAATTTTAGACCAGCGGTTCCCACTAGGTATAGAATATTAAAATTAATACTTCATAGTAAAATAAAATACTTTTAGTCGAAACCGGTTTGGCTCAGAGGTAGAGCGTCGGTCTGTGCACTGAAAGGTCCCAGGTTCGATTCCGGCCAAGGGCATGTACATTGTTTGCAGGCACATCCCCAGTAGGGGGTGTGCAGGAGGCAGCTGGTCGATGTTTCTCTCTCATCGATGTTTCTGGCTCTCTAACTCTCTCCCTTCCTCTCTATAAGAAAAAATCAATAAAATATATTTTAAAAAATAAATAAATAAAATAAAATACTTTTATTGTTAGAATGTTTAAATTGGAGAAGAGGCATCAGATGGTCAAAGTTAGGGTACTCTGATAAAGCATATGACATACCTGAGAATCATCTGGCCCAGAACTGTCCCAGGCTGTTTGGGTTGTTAGAGCAGTGGTTCAGATTGCTGGGCCCCACCCCATTTATGATTCGGTCTTCAGTGTTCCGTTTCTAACAATTTCCCTGGTGATGCTTATGCTTCTGGCCCACAGACCACATTTCCAGAACTATTGGAGGACAGATTAGGCAGGAACAAAATTCCTTAGGAAAAATGTACTAGTTTGAGATACTGTGAAGAATGGAGGCAGGGTAAACCATGATTGTTATATATGGAATATACACCTGACCCAAGTCCATGGCCTTTGAAAAACCAGCAAGCATATTTTGCATTAAGTTCAAAGTAAAATGCAAACAGGGCCTGGCTCTATACCTGGTTACTACGTGTGTGTAACCAGGGAAACTTTAGTAAACATCACCTTACTGAGACAGGTTTGGACATGTGTCTTTAAATCTCTCTGTTCAATAGAAGTGATTACTATATAACAGAAAATTACATAATTTTCTTATTTTAAATTCTGACAGGCAGGCTTATACCAAAGTTAAAATTAAAAACTCTATCCAAGTCACCATCAAAAACAGGCTTCTTATTAATTATATGTTTTGTCCACTTTCTTCAATGATCCTATAATGAGCTACCAAGCATTTCATATCAACATTGAATGGTTGCCAAGGAGATGCCACTGCGACTCTGTACAAGCTCATGTTTCTTGTCTCCCATTCTGCTAAAAGGAGGAGAACTCATGGGTCAAGGGCAAGATGCTTGGGTAACAGGCTATATATACAGCCTAATAATAGAGCTCTGAAGTGAACAATATGTTCTCTCTCTATTCCATCCATTAGCAGCAAAAGTACTTGAATTCAAATGATACAATGTGAAGGTTTACAGGCAGAATACCAGCATCCAAGAACAGTCAGAAAATCCTTCCTTGCAAAATCCAAGGGAAAGGCCACGGGGAATCAACTCTTCCTGCCAGGTCCAAATTTCTTCTATCCTTGGCTTCACTGGAGTCAGGAAAGCTCCCTAATACGAGAAACTCTGCTATTCTGTGTAAAATGGTTCTTTATAGTAACCCCATTCAGAGGTAAGGACAGTTTCTTCACAGAGTTCCAAATGTTTGGACTTCTAGAAACTATTTGTTTCTCTTCCAGTACTGTGCCACTGACTCTTGCATAAAATTCTGGAACGCTGGCTCTTCACGACTTTCCTCCGTAACTGCAAGGAAAGAAAGGTCAATTCTGGTTAAACCCTCCCATTGGACAGGTAGATGAGACCTGCTGCCACCCGTCCCTCAGACACAGTACCCTGTTTCTAAGTGTTCACTTCTCCCCGTCAGGAAAAGTCTCCCAGAGCATGCTTACCAGGTGGCCCAAAATGTGCAGTTTCTTTTACTGTAAGTGGGGGAGAAAAATCCTCCCTCATAAAGTAACTAAAATGAGGTCCCACTCCTAAGTATTTTTATCCAAGGGAAATGAAAACATATGTCCACACTAAAATTTGTTAATGTTAATAGCTGCTTTAGTTATCAGAGCTAAACTCTGGAAATAACCCAAACGTCAACCAGGTGATGAATGCATAAACAAATTGTGGTAGATTCATATAATGGAGTTTTCCTCAACTGTAAAAAACACCAGTGCATGCGACAAATCACAAAAAAACATTATACTGAATGAAAAAAGTTGAATGCAAGTTAAATACTGTCATTCCAATTATATGACATTCTAGAAAAGGCAAAATTATAGGAACAGAAATTAGAACAGTGATTGCCAGGAGCTAGGTGTACAGGAAGGGACAATGAAAAAGGGCATGAGAGAACTCTGGGGGTAAGGAAGTGTTCTGTATCTTGATTATGATGGTGATTACAAGACTATGCTAAGACTACTCAAGAGGCGCCTCCTCGCCCCCCCTCCCAGGCCTGAGCTTTTCCGATCCTTCTCTTCCCCCAGGCACCTTACCTTTGCCCTTCTCTCTCCTAAGCTCCAAGAGCCCTCTGGGAGGGCCTCGCTGAGCCTCACTTCTACTACTTTCTAAATAAACTTTCTCTTTTAATTTGGAGGGGTGGGGAAAGCACAACTCCTCAAACTAGAAACTTTTAAAAGGTGGGTTTTACTCTATAAATTACATTTCAATAAATCTAATTACTTGAGGCACTTTACATGGTAGCATCCAGTGCATTGAAATAAAGAGAAGTTTGCTCTTGGTCACAGAGAGGATCTAAAAGGGCTGTTTGAGAAACAGACTCTGTTCACATTCCATAAGACTATGCCAAGTTAACCCTTTTGGGTTTCCAGAGCCATTGTAACCTCAGAGTGTTACAGTCCCTTCAGATCTGCTGAGGCCTCCTTATGTATTCTTAAAAAAATTATAATAAACCAAATCCTAGAATCCTCAAACTGAATCAGGACCTAACTTGAGAAGACAGACTAATAAAAAGGCCTGTAATCAGCTCAATATTAACCATTCAGCAGGAAGGCCAGGGACTCCCAATGCATGGGATTCTTTCCTGGTGCTACACCTTAACCATCTCCTCTGTCCCCAATATTTTTCCTTTCTTGTTAATCCTCACTCAAGGATATTGATTTTTTTTTTTTTTTTTTAGACAATGAAAGGGAGGGGGAAGAGTGAGAGAGAAACATCAATGTGAGATAGACATAAATAATGTGAGATACACACCCAGGGGATCAACCCTGCAACTGAGACACATGCTCCTGACCAGAATCGAACTTGCGACCCTTCAATCTGCATATTCAAGACCTTCTCTTAACAAGAAGGTTCTGACCAAACTATGTGAGGATAAGCAGCTAGTCTGTTTTCATCAGCCACCTCAGCCACCTCTCACCTCTGTGATCAATATCATCAGTGTCGCTGTCTGCTTCTTCATCTTCTTCATCTAAGGTTCCCCGAGTCAAGATCAAGTCAGAAGGGTCCCGTGCAGAAGATAAGCCGTCTATAGAGAGAACACCAGCAGCATGTCATGAACACATGCCTCATCCAAAAGAAAATTCTGAATCAGTAAATAACTACAATTTTGAATTTGGCTGGATGAAAATGGTCAGGATAAAATGCAGATCCTACTTCTTCCAAATGTATTGTTAATACCACATAACATTTCAACAGTCTAATCACAAAGTGCTGTCATTATTCTAGTAAGTCAAGAGGTCTTTTTATTTTTTAGGTTTTGTTTTTCTTTAATATATTTTTTATTGATTTCAGAGAGGAAGGGAGAGGGAGAGATAGAAACATCGATACTAAGAATCATTGATTGGCTGCCTCTTGCACACTCCCTTTTGGGGATCGAGCCCACAACCCGGGCATGTGCCCCTGACTGGAATCAAACCCAAGACCCTTCAGTCTGCAGCCTGACACTCTAACCACTGAGCAAAACCAGTTAGTGCTGAAAATCTTATTATTTTTTTTTTTACTGATTTTTTTACAGAGAGGAAGGGAGAGAGAGAGGGAGCTAGAAACATCGATGAAAGAAACATCGACTAGCTGCCTCTTGCACACCCCCTACTGGGGATGTGCCCGCAACCAATATACATGCCCTTGTCCGGAATCGAACCTGGGACCTTTCAGTCCGCAGACCAATGCTCTACCACTGAGCCAAACCGGCTTCGGCTGAAGATCTTATTTTTAAACTAAGGAAAATAGTTCTCAAGTAGCTTCTCTTAGTATGAATATCATTCTTTAATATATATATATATATATATATATATATATATATATATATTTTTTTTTTTTTTCCCTTAATTAATTTCAGAGAGATCATGAGAGATCCCCACACTGAGGATTCCACACCCAAACATATGTCCTGGCGGGGAATCGAACTGTGACCCCCAGGCTCATAGGTCGGTGCTCAACCACTAAGTCATGCTGCCAGCCTCATTCATTTTTAATAGCTGACAGCTTGGAATAGACTATGAATTTACTTATAAAGACCTTTAAGCAGATCCAGAGTGCTAGTGAGTCAAGGGTCAGTGTGGAGCACCGAGGATGCTTCCTGGTGGAAATTAAGTTCAGAAAGGGTCAGAAGAGAACACAGTGTAAAATGATCCAGAATAGAGGAACCAGGGTATTCTTCAGAAATAAGAGTGGTGGAGGAGTTAAGGAAAACTGAATAATAGAGGCAATGCCCTAACTGGTCTGGCTCAGTGGATAGAACGCCGGCCTGTGGACTCAAGGGTCCCAGGTTTGATTCCGGTCAAGGGCATGTACCTTGGTTGCGGGCACATCCCCGGTAGGGGGTGTGCAAGAGGCAGCTGGTTGATGTTTCTCTCTCATCGACGTTTCTAGCTCTCTATCTCTCTCCCTTCCTCTCTGTAAAAAATCAATCAAATATATTTAAAAAAAAAAAAAAAAAAAAAAAAAAAAAAAAAGCAGCAACATCAAGGGTCACAAAACTAAAGTGGCCCTGGCCCTGAGAAAGGATGGTGTGTCAATACTCAATGCTTCATTCCATGCCCAACTCAGAATTACCAACAGTACTTGTGATTCCCCCAAGTAATTTACTGAAACTCCTCCAACTTTAACAGGGTATCTAAGTACAGCAGACCCTTTGCAACAGAATCAACAGCTGCCACTTCATGTATTCATGAGTGACTCCAAAGACCACAGCACATAGAAACTGATGTTGCTGAGGTGTGCAACAAGGACGGCATAGGCAAGTTCATGTACCTGGTCAACCCAGGCCATTTCTAGCATCTCCTCCAAGCAGCTTTGCATATTCTCTACTAGGAGCACAGCAACAGCTTTCCTGAATAGAACTTCACTCCTCTAAAGGCCAGCCCATCAGTAAGTGTGGATGGGTGCGAGCATATACATTTAACTAGAAATCCCTGGAGAATCAATGACAAACTCAAAAGTCAGTAAAGTAGAATAAAAAGACTAATGCACAAAAATTAAAAGTTTTGTACACACAAACATAACCAGTTAAAAGATACAATTGTTAAAAAAAAAAAAACTATTTTCAACACTAACAAAGAAGAAAAAAATCCTTGAAATAAATTTAATAAGAAATATGCAAAGTCCACATAAAGAAAGCATCCTCCTCTTCCCCTTCTGCTCTTAAATATAAGTATCTTCCTGCTGAGTAAAAATAACATACCGGTATTCACTTTTAGTCCCTAATGCCAAGAGACCCTCCAATACCTGTGGCAGTTCCTGTGTCCAAGGCAACAGAGCCCATATCTTTCTGAAGGCGTTCTAGCTGTTCTTTCTGCTGCTGGCTCTGTGCACTGGCCTGTGTATGTAGAGAAAACAATCATCAGACTCAAAAAGGAGCCCCAAGTTATATGGAAATGACCAATTACACAAATGCCAGAGACTACCTAAACATTGAGGCAGATAAGGGATGGCTGATATGGATAGACACACTGAGCAGTATGGGCCCAAATTAGCAGTTCAGGCTGGAGGGCACTAGAAAATGAACCAGAAGTTTCAGAAACTGGACACAAAAGACCCCTCAAGTAGATACAGCAGGACAGCTCGGTGATATGGAGCCCAGTCGGCCAATGGGGACAGGACACCTGATCCGCTGAAATAAGAGTTGTGAAGCACCTCTCTGTTCCTAAACAGAACTCTACAACTAGCCTTTACCATGGACCTCGGAGTAGGGGCGGGGGTTGGGTGCAATAAGGGCTTAGCACATATAACAAGAAAATCTGATTTAAAAAACTTTTTAATTAAATATATATTGATTTTAGAGGGAGAGGAATTGGGGGCAGGAGGTTGAGACATATCAATTTGTTAGCATATCAGAACAACGCTCTAACCAACTGAGCTTCCTCACCAGGGCAGAAAAATATGATTTTTAAAACTTCAAATAAAGAAAAGTAATTTAAGGGGACTTTCTACATCCAGCCAGCACACCTAGACATTTACAAATTTAAATTAATGAGTATCTAAAAGCCACACTGATGGCCCAAACAAAAGAATGAATGGCAGGATAAGCGTATGGTTTGAGGTTGTTTTTTTAGTGGCCCTAAAATTCATTAACAGCCTCCTCTCTTACCAGTGATTTCTTCAGACGTTCATATTCAGGACGATACTCCCTGAAAGAAAAACAATTTCTAAATTGCTGTGTTTAAAATATGTCCTGCCTGCCCCCACATCACTTCTGATTTCCTAGGGCTCTGAAAATAAAAAAGATCTTACTTAACTGAATGTCAAGCATAACAAAAATGTAACTCACTAAAATCCTATCCCTATGGAATTAAAAGCCAAGATACCTGTCCTCACCCCTAAAACTAGAAAAAAGAAAAATGTCTGACTGTTGAGCTGGAAAGATTAATTTTAGAGACACTGACTAAGGAGCTTATTAGCACTCATATGGATAAACATTTGAGATGAGTAAAAGAAGCGAGGACTGTTGGGTTCAGGAAACCCAACACATATTAGCTTTAATTATGTGGTTTTAACAGGGCAACTATGAAAGGATACAAAAGTCTTTTCCTAAGGCTTCGATCACACACACACACACACACCCCTTATCTAATGAATCAAACTCAAAATAACGTGTCTGAAAACCACAATGTGTTTGTTAGGATCCTGCTAATTATGGGACCAAAGGAGCATGTGGGGATGCAGCAACTAACAGGCTACAGACACAAGGGAAGTGTCTACATGCTCCGGCTCCACTTTCTTTTAGATGATTGGAATCCCAATATTAATTATGACAGTGATAACAATCATTTATTATGAAATGTGCTTACTGTGTGTCAGCAGTTGCACTGAGTGCTCCAAATGTTTTCTCAAATAATTCTCACAACGACCTTAGCAGTACATGCTGTTACCCTGAAGCACAGGCACTCCATCTTGTCCCCGTAACCTCTATTCTGTAAAAACTGCCAGTTTGAAATTTCCCACTAAGCATAGGTAGTCTTTTGTTCTGTAAATTAACTCTGCTATTCTTGGCTTCTGGAAACATGCTTGCTCAAATAATAAAGAGAATAAGCTCAATTATCTGGTCTTGTAAGTTGCTCTGCTGCTGTCCTTGGTTACTCCCACGCCTCTTAGTTATCTAAATTGTACTGTGCTCAAGGCTACTGAGTTGGGCTGTGCTCAGGTTACAAGCTTCCCACAAAATATCTACACAGGGCTCTTTAAGAAGCACGCAAAAATATAAGTACAACCAATGGACATAAAACTCTGGGGAGTGAGGGTATGTGTGGGAGGGAGGAAGGGGGGCAAAAAAAGAAAATCAATAAAATATATTTAAAAAAAAAAAAAAAAAAAAAAAAGCACGCAAAAGGTTCGGAATCCCATATTGAGGAGACAAAGGGACTGGGGGGGTATAAAGGAAAAGTTTCCTCCATGTTGCTTTGCTCAGACTCAGGCTGCTACTCGGAGACCGCTAGCGTAATAAAGACTCCAAATCTGGCTTACTAAGGCGTCTTCTGTTCAGCTCACTGATTCCCAATATAACAATCCCTGAACTATAATACAACTGAGGAAAACTTGCAGAAGTTATTATTAAGTGGAGGAAACAGAAATCCAACTTTTAACTGTCTAACTCCAAAGCATTAATGCTAATGGGGTCAGCCAATGTGGAAAACGGGTCAAATCAAGTCCTTTGCCTATTTTTATAAGTAATGTTTTACTGGAACACAGCCATGTTCATTCATTTATAAAATGTCTATGGATGCTTTTTTGCTACAATGACAGAGTTGAACAATTGCAACAGAGATCACAAAGTCTAAAATAATTATTACCTGGCTTTTCACAAAAAGTCTGGTGACTCCTGCCTGTTCTTACTCATTAAATACAATGAAAATTTTACATTCCTTTTTTTTTTTTTAAGTTAATGGGTATTAGTGACCCCTTAATGTGGTCAGTATACATACACATGGCAAATGTAATAGATATACTATGAAAACCAAAAAGCTTTGCCGCGCAAAATTGCTATCATATCAGAATTGTGGGTCATTAAGAATGTCATCAATAGAGTTCCCTTTGTTCTCACCTTTCATATTCTTCCGCAGCACTGGTGACTTGCACGAAGAGTTCATCTAAGCCTGTACCCAGAACAGCAGACACACCTACCACCTGACAAAAGCAACATTAATGCCACTGAGCAAACAGATGTGTACATTATTTTGTTCAAAATTCATAAGAATCTTTATACAGAAGTTTAGATACTTAGAGAAGTCTCTGGCAAGAATAAAGCTAAACCAAAGAGCAGCATGTCTACTAAAAAGTCATGGAAATAAGTCTAAGGAAAATAGAGAATTGAACAAGAAAGATAATTAGGGACAAACAAGTAGTGGGGCTTTTAATCTATTCCTATCAATTCAAACCACTGTCTGTTCTCTATGAAAATTAGTATCTCAGTGCCTTTACTTGGGCAATTAACATACACTCTGCCACCCATAACCACTTTTGCTTATACAAATCTTACCCTTCCTTCAAAGCATACCTTTAAAGATATACCCTCCAAAAATTCTCATTTCGAGTGATTTTCCCTCTCACTACCATCAGGGCCAACTTCCAATCTTTCTTAATTCTGTTTTAATTCTGTGTGTAGCCTTCTCTTCTAACTAGAGTAGACCATAAACTCTCTTGAGGGTAGGGTCTCTATTCATCTATAAACTTCCAGTATTTAATAAGTTAATGCTTTAAAATGTACTTTTCAAAAAGTAATGAACTTCCTTCCTAAGATCGGTCAAAGCCAGCCCTATGAGTGAAAAGGTTATCTGGGGAGACTGTGGGTGTGAACAGAAGAGGAGCTTACCCTGAGTGAGCTGTAAAATTCATCTAACACCAAGCTCATTGAACGAGTCAGGTTGCTGACATATGTAGTCTCTTGATTCAAGGCATCTTGGAAAGCCTCAAAATCTTGCATCCATTCCACTGCAAAACTGTGATCAATGATGTCAGTCTGCAACAGAGAGAAGCCAACTATGAGAAACCAGAGATAAGTTTAGACACCAAATAATCCCCTCCCCCTTTTTTTTTTAATTTAGTGATGATAATAATAAGCAATTCTTCAGGGGCATGGGGCGATATAAGAGCGTATAGGGAGGACAAACAGTGATGGAAGGAGACTTGACCTGGAGTGATGAACACACAATACAGTGTTCAGATGATGTTTAATAGAATTGTACATCTGAAACATATATAGTGTTATTAACCAATGTCACCCAATAAATTCAATAAAAATAAAGCAATCACTCATGTATTTTCTTTCTCTGCTTTACCCAGTTCCTCTTCCACTACAAGCCACAAAGAACCAAGACTGCTGTACAGTATTAATTAAATGAAGGTACATGTTCTCTTCACTATCCACTGCCAAGTGACCGTGACCACAGTGGATGCCAGCCCATTCCAGGCTCTAAAGTCAACTAGTCTGCTGTATCCTAGCTACCAAAGAAAAGGGAAGTTTTGTCTTTTTGTTTTAGTTGCCACTTCCAATAGACTAGCAGTACCAGCTCCACCCATAGTCTTGATTCTGAGGGATAATCCACACCCTACAAGTGAGGGCTGCTTTACCTAGGCTGAAATAATTTTGGATGAAAGTTGCTATCATATCAGAATTGTGGGTCATTTATCATTGAGTGATAAATATTCAATCTGACTGAATCTTCTCCCTACAAGTGCCCATGGCTGTTTCAGGTAAGCTTGAATCTGCTCTCTGGCATCTCAATAGCATTTTCTCAATACCTATTCCAAATCTTCCAATAACACCAAGTTCGATGAAAACAAATACAGTTCTGAAATCACAACAGTAAGGATCCACTTACTTTATTCATGACCACAATGAAAGGAAGCTTGGTTTTGTATAAGATGCTGAAAAATCAAACATCAAGACATTATTAGTAAAAACACTTCAGCTCCTGTTTACCATGTCAGTCAGTTGGAATTGAGAAAAGAAGAATGAGTTTAGACTCTAAGTATAAGGTATCCTTTCTTATAAGGCACATGTCCTCCTCTCCCAAGAGAAAAAACCACCCCCACCATCACACAAACACACACACATAAGTCTAGGTAAGAATGCTTTGCTACTGATTCTGTTGTGCGTGTGTGTGTGTGTGTGTCTGTCTGTCTGTTTGGTTGCTTGTTTTTACAAATAATTGTTTTAAACAACTAATATAAAAATGAACAAATGGCCCTAGCTGGTTTTGCTCAGTGGATAGAGCGTCAGCCTGTGGACTGAAGGGTCCCAGGTTCAATTCCTGTCAAGGGCACATGCCTGGGTTGCGGGCTTGATCTCCAGTAGGGAACGTGCAGGAGGCAGCCAATCAATGATTCTCTCTCATCATTGATGTTTCTATCTCTCTTTCTCTCTCCCCCTTCCTCTCTGAAATCAATCAAGATTTATAGATATATAGATATATAGATATATAGATATGTAATTTTTTTAAAATCAGCAAATGCTGTCAGTCATCAGATTTCATTTGGACTAGAATTTCTTGCATCAAATAAGAGACAACCCCAATCATACTAAAAGGGGAAAATGTTGGTGATGGCTTTTCTGTATCCCCAAAAACGAAATTCTCTCAGCTTCAGCAACGGCATGGCTTACTCCTAGATCTAATGCACTGACATAACCTAGTGAGGTATGTCCTCCCTCTCATAATTGTACCACACTTGGGGCAAACCTATGTATTTCAGAATTATGGATAAACCTTTTTACTCATAATCTCTCCCCATGTTATAATTTCTATATCATAATACAGAAAAGGAGCTCTCTTTTATTTAAACTTGGACTTCAGTGAACTGGGAGCCATACAAAAAGATTCATATTCACACACTACCTTTCTTTCTGTAGCAAGCAAGGAGGAAGATGAGAAGTTGCTGACCAAGGATGCCAACTTCTCATCTTCCTCCTTGTATGCCTCTTTTCTCTACTGACCCCTCCCCAACTCACAACCACTAAACTGAGTGGCAAACCTGAATGCGCACAAATCTAGGGATTAGCACTCAGGATTCAAAGAAAAGGAGGCCCCATTCCTTATTTAATGTCATCCCAGCAATAATCAGTTACCTGCAGGCATAGAGCATGTTGGACATGAAGGTCACTGGGTTGGTACTTCTTGATGTGTCCATTACATAAATGACAATCGTTGGAAAGGAGGATGCCTAAAGCCACAAAATAATCAAAGCCTTAGCCAGAGGGCTCATGGTCTGTCCCCAAATTTTTCCTATCTTCTTAATAAGAGAGAACCACTTTACAGAGATTCTACAACTCCCTTCCACAAAAGATCCCAGGCAACAAAAAGACTTATCCAGTTTAGCTCTCAGTAATAACTAAAATACTCACCAGAGCCTCTGTGATGATTGTCCCAGAAGCTGACCAGGTGAACACTTCAATCTGCCCAGGTGTGTCAATCAAGACATATCTGTGTCGAGAAAGACCATTAAAGAAGTATTACACTTGCCGAAACCGGTTTGGCTCAGTGGATAGAGCGTCAGCCTGCGGACTGAAAGGTCCCGGGTTCAATTCTGGTCAAGGGCATGCACCTTGGTAGCGGGCACATCCTCAGTAGGGGGTGTGCAAGAGGCAGCTGATCGATGATTCTCTCTCATCGATGTTTCTAACTCTCTATCCCTCTCCCTTCCTCTCTGTAAAAAAATAAAATATATATATATATTTTTTTAATTCAGAAGTTGGAGAAAAAACACACAGAATGTAATACCATCTCACACCCACTAAGACAGTTATAATAAAAAATGAAGATATAGCCGAAACCGGTTTGGCTCAGCGGTAGAGCGTCGGTCTGCAGACTGAAAGGTCCCGGGTTCGATTCCGGTCAAGGGCATGTACATTGGTTGCAGGCACATCCCCGGTAGGGGGTGTGCAGGAGGCAGCTGGTCGATGTTTCTCTCTCATCAACGTTTCTAGCTCTCTATCTCTCTCCCTTCCTCTCTGTAAAAAATCAATAAAATATATTTTTTTTAAATGAAGATATAACAAATATTGTCAGGGATATAAAGAAACTGGAACCCTCATGCACTGCTAGTGGGAATGTAATAGTGCAGCCAATAGGAGCTGGGGAAAAAGGAAAATTGCTAATGTGTGTGACGTTTCTTTTGGGATAATAAAAATGTTCTGAAATTAGATAGTAGGAATTAATACACAATTTTATGAGTACTAAACACCACTAAATTGCATAAATTAAAGGAGTGAACTTTATGGTAGGTGAGTTTATATCTTAAGAAAAATTTTTTTAAAATATATTTTTATTGGGCCGAAACCAGTTTGGCTCAGTAGTAGAGCATTGGTCTGTGGACTCAAAGGTCCCAGGTTCGATTCCAGTCAGGGGCATGTAGGTTGGTTGCGGGCACATCCTCGGTAGGGGGTGTGCAGGAGGCAGCTGGTCGGTGTTTCTCTCTCATCGATGTTTCTAGCTCTCTGTCTCTCTCCCTTCCTCTCTGTAAAAAGTCAATAAAAATATATTTAAAATATATATATATATATATATATATATATATATATATATATATATATATATATTCCCCCCCCCCATTGGATTCAGAGAGAAAGGGAGAGGGAGAGAGATAGAAACCAATGAGAGAGAATCACTGATCGGCTATCTCCTGCCTGCCCCTATTGGGGATCAAGCCCACAACCTGGGCATGTGCCCTGATGGGGAATCAAACCATGACCTTCTGGTACATGACCTCTGAACCACACCAACCAGGCTGAATTCTTTATAAGGGTCATATATCCTTTTTTATACAAATAATTAATTATCGTTCTTTTTTTTTTAAAGCAAACCTATCAACAGTTAATCTATTAACAGTGGGTAATAATAATATGAACAAATATTTTATTTTATATTTTGATACTTTTAAAATTAAAAAACAATTATTCTCTCTGATTTATGTATATTATATTCATTTAAATAAGGGTTAGAAAGATGTTTCAGAGATTTTAATGCCAACAAATATGGTTTTCCAAGAGAAAACAGAGATAGTTTCAAAATATCTCCTAAGAAACCATGAGCATATACCAAAATGGTTGAGGATAGATACTATTAAATTTAGCTCTACACTATCATCTTAAGGATTTTCTTGACTATCTTTTTTTCACTTCTAATAGTTTCATCTTAATCTAAACTCTTTCAAAACTTAATGCTAACCGAAAATTTTTCAAAAAAGCCTAGAAACATGTTAACTCTAGAGTAATAAACAGGCACTAAACTGAAATCACTTACTTAGACATGTTCTGGGCCTTCTCAATAAATTTCATCACCTAAAAGAAAAAGATGCCAATTACAACAGGAGCTGATTTCAGCATAAAGTCTCAGGCCCTCTCCATAGGCCCGCTTCATAGGTACCATCGACTACTGAACCTCTGTGTTCTCAATCTCAGGACACCAACTAGTAAACTCACTGAACCACAGAAACAGCCACGTGAGCAGCCCTGCAGCACCCTGGGGCACGGGACCAGGGTCTGAGAGCTGAAGACTTGATCTGTCACTGTCAAGTCACTTCTCCTGATGCTTTGGAAAATGTTAATAGCCTGTCTCATGGAGTGACGTCAGGGCAAAACATCGATTACAAAGCAAGGCAACAGAGAAAACCTAAATGTTGATAACTATTTGTCACAAGTTTAAAAAGCCCCATTATTTTTCTGTTCCATATTTGCTAGCCCACCTCACCCCTTCTTACCCCCATCCCTTTACTCCATCCTCAGGGTAATACTATAAGCCAATTATAGATCAAGAAACAAACAGTCTCCTGTATTTCTGTTTTGCTGGCTGTCCCAAATATTAAATGTCAAGTGTTCATAAAACTGATTTTCCTCTCACAGCCTACTTCTCTGTCTATCAAAATGCCTATTTTCTATATTTATAATATATCCCAGGTTAATTGCTCTTCTTTCCCAACGTTATCAATCTAAGGTATTTGAGCCATAGGTTTTTACACATTCAGGCCTATATGAGTGAAAACAGACAGACATACCTGATCAAATCTAGTAGCAAAGAGATTGAGTGAGGTCACTATGCCACCGTTGGGTCCAAGTCCATATCTAGACACTAAGTTGAGGATTTAAATTGCTTATAGATGAATTCAGATGATAAAAGTTCATACACAGGATACCATTCACACAAACATTACATTAGCGGTCCATTAATGAATATTGGCAAGCTAATCCTTGACTTAGTATGTACCACACAGCTGTAACTTCACAGGAAACATTCATCATCAGGGTCTTCTTCATCCCTTTATTGTTTTACCGATGGCCAGGCAAAATGAACAAACTAAAGGGACCAAAACATAATAGACAGATGCATCAGGCAGTGACAGCCTGCCAGCATTGCTATTAAGGACATCTATATAACACTCCTTGCTCTGATCCTCACTAATCAAGCAGCTTGCTGATTATAATTAGTTTTTCTACCTAGACTTACCTAGAGGGAAAGTACACATTTCACACAGCAATGTACCAAGCAAGAGGTGATCCTACTCATTTCTGGGTTCCCCAGTTTGAGGAGGTGCTGACCAATGACTGTAGCTTCCAAGACAATACTACTTTCTGGGTCCTTCACGCGACCAGCTACCTCTCGCTATCTATGCTCTCTAATTACAACAGCCGCAGTCTGGGAATTTGGTAAAAAAATAAATAAATAAAATCACAAGTTCAAAGAATATTTCTAATCACCTACAATACTTCTTTCCAGATTCATCTTTCATTTTCCCAATTAATGACTTTAAAGTAATCAAAATGATTTTGCTAGTTTATTTCACAAGGAAACCCAAAAACTTTTCTTCAAAATATACAGAGGGTAACTAGCCATAGATGAGTTAACACCGAAGAAGATGTAAAAAGGATACTGTTTCATGACTTCTTTATACTTCACAGTGTCACGAATATCTGGGGGAAGGGAGTGAAGAAGTAATTAGAATTTAACACATACTAGGTAAGAAACTATAGCATGACATTCTCCACCAATAATACCCTAAACCAAGAGGTCTCTCAAGTCATCTCTGCTTCCTCTGAGGAAAAAAGTAAGTTTCCCTCTATGCATGAGTTACTTTTCAAATCTGTTTTGTAATTTTTAAGCCAAGATCATTGAACTGTGATAGAAAAAGAAGCAAAATTGTGAGGAAAAGAATAGAAGGGCAGAAGGTGTTCCATACTTTATCAGCAAGAAACTAAAACTAGCCTTTCAGCATTCTCTTCTACCAGCTTCACAATGGTTTCTGTCCTTACAAAGGAGAACTGTCAAGTCACCCATAAACAATATTACGTTACAAGTTCTCAAGCTACGGTTGAGATGTTCTGAGATAGGGAGATAAGTTTTATGCACTTAAATACCTTGTCAGTAAACATATGCATAGAAAAAGGGAGCTAAATCAAGAAAAAAATATTTATTTCTTATTAACAGCTACTAATAACAAAGGTACAGCAGACATGATTGTAAAAAAGGAATTAACCGAAAACTGGTTTGGCTCAGTGGATAGAGCATTGGTTTGTGGAATGAAAGGTCCCAGGTTCTATTCTAGTCAAGGGCATGTACATTGGTTGCGAGCACATCCCCAGTAGAGGGCGGTGCAGGAGGCAGCTGGTCGGTGTTTCTCTCTCATCGATGTTTCTAACTCTCTATCCCTCTCCCTTCCTCTCTGTAAAAAAAATTAATAAAATATATTTAAAAAATAAAAAGGAATTAATTTATCCAGTAATATCTAAATAAACCTATCAGTCTATAAACCTACCCTGTTACAGAAAATTGGAGAAGAACCAAGCAATACTTAAGAGAGATGGAGTTACATTTATTGTGCGCGGGTCCAGAAGAAAATGTCTCTCAAATTCTGGGCCCCAACATGGAGGAATTTTCCCTATTTACATGTTTTTAGCTTCTTTGTCTCCCAAATATGGGGTGTTTCCGACCCCCTTTGCAAGTTCTTAAAGAGCCCTTATGGCCTGGGGCCTTGAGACCTCAACCAAAGGCCTGGCCTGGCGCCAGCACTGATCATTTCGTCCAGAGAAGGTTTAATGGCCTCTCTGAAGTGGGAGTAGTCTTATTTTCCTTATTACTTAAGCAACAAGTATTTACAGAAGCCAAAGACCAGGGTTAAAATTTCAAACAGAAGTTTTTATATAAGATGGATGCTTCACCCCCATCAACTATTAGAATCACATTCTTTAAGTGAGATGATGGGTGATTTTCTTGCCCAAATTCTTTGCCATATATATAATCAACAACCTTCCGTGCAGAGGATAATGCTCAAGTAACTGAGCCACACTATCCAGAACACAATCTCTGCTTCTTAATATAAGGCCTTCCTTTATTAGCTTGTTTTGGGTTATAAGCATCTTAACAGGATTAAGAGATAAGATTATCACAGTGAAGGCCTAGATCAGGAAGCCTAGATGCTATGACCCTGGACCACATTCATTCTTATATTTTTATAATCAGATTCCTATTACAATAACTGAGAACCTCTCCCCAAAACAATGCACATATGCATACCTATGCACATTTTCCATGTAACTTTGGAAGTAGAAGCAAGAACCCACACAAGAACCCTTATACTCTAACTAAACTTTGGGAAAAGAAACTAAATAAAAAGGTGTATATATCAGAGTCTGCTGAAGGGTTTAGGGCAGGTGTCGGCAACCTGAGGCTCCAGAGCCGCATGTGGCTCGTTTGAAGCTTTACCGAGGCTCGACAACTTGCAAGCCTGTGTGAAAATGAAGGTAACAGTAACATCTTACAGCCCTGATGTGCTGACACTGTGCACTGAGGTTCAGGAGCAAAAATCCCATTAACCAGATAAATTAAATATTTTAATTAGCTATTAATTTGCAAAAATATATTTTACATTGTAAAGTGAAAAAGTCCTTTTTTTCTTCAGATTGAGAGCTAACTGCACGATCTGGTATATAGCATTAAGTAAGAAACAATATATGCAGTGTTATATTTGTTTTAAATGTCGCAATGGTTTTGCGGCTCCCAGGTGTTTTTTTTCCTTCGGAAACGGGTCCAAGTGGCTCTTTATGTCTTAAAGGTTGCAGACCCCTGGTTTAGGGCATAGAAGTGAGAAGCCACTTCATTTTCCCAAACATTAGCCTGATACCTCAGGGTCAGAAAGGAGAAAAAACACTGAGTAGAAAGGAAACAAAGGGAAAGGAGTAAACAAAGAGAGAATGTGAATACGGCAGAAGCCTGTTCAGGGATTCTAGCAAATCCATGGGAAATGAAAGTAGATTGTTTAGAAAAAAATGAAAGCACTGAGAACTGGCGGGCTGGAGGGTTTCCATTCAAAGAAACTTTAAACAAAACAGTAGTTTACTCACCGATATTGGCAAGAAAGGGAACTTCATGCACAGCTGGGTCGAGATTGATCACATAAGGCGGAGAGCCTTGGCTATGCAGATGTCCTGTGAGCCTCTGCACAGATGTGAGGTGCCGGATAGACAGACAAAGAAGGCATGATAAGAGGACAAAGGACATTTCCATCTATCAGAAATAGTCCCCTCCAACATTCAACTCTCATTTGAAATGCAACCTTTCTTTATTACCCATTTGTCAGAGCTTCCTCTTATTTACTTGCTTTGTGTGGGGGTTTTTATCCTATCACCTCCAATAAACCAGTAGTCCCATGAAAGCAGAACCTTGTCAACCTCATTTTCACTGCATCCCCACTGCCTGTTTCACTCAAAATGATGACAATAACCAGGCAGCAAGATCTCAAATGCTCCGAAGAATGAAAGTTTTACAGTTTCTTTTACTTATTCATTTGGAATTAAGGAGATAACGTAAGGAAGATTACATAAATTGGGAGAAAAGTGGGAAGTGGACAATTAATAAGATTATGTGCTCTCTTGAAAAAGGCATTTTCAAAGGTGAGTTAACCTAGATGCACACCACAAAAAAAAAAAAAAAAAAAAAAAAAAAAAAAAAAAGGAACAGGGTTTACTTAGAGCAAATATAAACCTTGTACCAAAGAAGTTATATGCCTGGGGTGTGACTGCCCATCAAGACCTGCCCAGTTAAGAATTTATGATCCATATTATCTCACTCATATGTGGAATCTATTGAACAAAATAAACAAAACAGGAGCAGGCTCAAAGAGAACAGACTGACAACTGTCAGCGGAGAGGTAGGGTTGCAGTGCTGGGTGGAAAAGGTGAAGAGGTTAAGCAAAAAACAAACTCACAGGCACAGACACAGCACGGTGATTGCCAGAGGGGAAGAAGGGTAGGGTTGGTAGAAGACAGTAAAGGGAATAAACGGTGAAGGAAGGAGACTTGACTTGGGGTGGAGAACACAATACAACATACAGATGATGTGCTGGAGAACTGTACACCTGAAATCTGTGTAACTTTATTAACCAACTGCACCCCCAATAAATTCAACTAAAAACTAATTTATGATCCAATCACCCTGTGAGGTTACTTTCGGTTACACTTATTACAACACCCCTTTTTTTGTTCACACATGAAATAGGATAGGCGCACAGGAAATACGTAATTCTTTAACCATCTATACCAAAAGCCTGTGCGGTGGCACTCTACACTCTATTGGTCTCCAGTTACTTGTAAGCCTCTGCCTTCAAGTCAGCAAGGCGGTCGACAGGACAGCTGCAGTGCCACGTGGTACGCGGTACCAGGGATGCACTCAGGGAGCCTGAAGGCACCCAGGCTAAGGTGCCAGGAGGTCTCGCCACGGAGCCCCGAAAGCCACCTCCCCTCCCTTTTCCTGGCCTCCCACCGCCTCCCGCGCACCCCTCCGCCGCCCGCGCCCTGTAGCTCACCTGTACGAAGGTGGTTTTGCCAGACCCCGCCATTCCCAACACCAACAGACACACAGGGGGCCGGGGACCCCCGGACGCCTGAGGCTCGGCTGCAGCCGCGGGCGCCGCCATCTTCCTCCTGGCTCCGCCCACTTGACCATCGAGACGACACGTAGCTAGAGAGACTTCCGCCAAAGCGGCTGTGAGGGTGGGACCGGCTCCCGCCGGCTCAGAGCATCCTCCTCTGCCGATCGGGCTCGGGCGCCCCCTCGGGACCATGCCAGGGAAGTGCAGGCACTGGGAAGACGGTCAAAAGTCTGGTCTGCAGGAGCAGCTGCCTAGATGAGATCCGGAGAGCAGGGCTCCCACGATCCAAAAAAAAAAAAAAAAAAAAAAGAGTGCGTTTCACTTCCGGCCCCCAAAGGACCCAGGACTGGAGCCTCCGGAGAACCGACAGCGAGGCTGAACCGGGCGAGGGGGATAAGCCGTTTGGGGGGGGGGGGGGTGTGCGGGGTGGGCACACAGACCTGGCTGGAATGGGATGCGCACCTAGGGGTTGCCTGGCCGTGCAGAGACCTGTTGAACCAAGAAACTTGCTTCCCGGGGATGTCGTCCCCGCATGTCGACGCCCCTGACAGTAGCTCCTGGTCACTCTCAGTGACCACACCAACGCCTGGGGGTGGACGGTAGGATTCCCGGAGCAAGTAGGTACTGAAGGGGTGTTTCCTTGCACGAAGTGTCCTCGGAAACCGAAACGGTGGTGCAAGAGCTGAGAAATGTATTCCTGCTCCTGACCACCGAGTCTGTTCTTGTGGCCCTTTGTAGCCAGCTGTTCACCAAGTCATAGGTAAATCCGGGTTTCACACCGACCCCGGCTCTGCCACCTGCTAGCAGTGTAAATCGTGGCTAAGTTACTTACATGCTCCAAACCTTTCTTCTTTAAAATTGAGATATCTCATAGGGGGTGGTAGTGAATGCATATTGTAAATTGTAAACTAGTCCTTCACCTTTTAACCCTACCTGTATGCTCGCAATAAGTGCTCAAAAATATTTTCTTGTGTGAACTAAACTACAACTGTGCGTTTTTTGTTTCCTAAATTTTCAGTAAGAATTAATGGGGGAATGTTTCGTTTGTTTACTGAGGACTCCCAACAATACCCCTACATGGTTTCTTAGTTTAATAATTTTTTTAAGCCAGGAAAGAAAAAAAGGCAGCGATGAGGCTTTGAAAAAGGACAATGGTTAGCTGGTTTTGCTCAGTGGATAGAGCGTGAGGCTGTAGACTAGAATCCAGACTTTGATACTGGTCATGGGCACGTGCCCAGATTGCCGACTGGATCACCAGTTGGGGGCATGAAGGAGGCAGCCTATCAATGATTCTCATCATTAATGTTTCTATCTCCCCTTCTCCCTTCCTCTCTGAATGCCTCTGCTGTTATCAAAATAAAGTTTTTAAATATTTGGTTAACTTTTAAAGTCTTATGCAATCTATAATTACAACCAATGGACATAAAACTCTGGGGAGGGAGGGTATGTATGGGAGGTAGGGAGGAGGGCAAAAAAAAAAAAATCAATAAAATATATTTTTTAAAAAATAATTACAGAAAGAAGCACCATTAATTAAAACATAAATAAAAATAATTTATGACTAAAAAAATGATTTGTGCTTTTTTTTCAGAAAAAAAAATAAAGTCTTATGCAATCTATTACTTCCCTAGCAATATCCTAAATTCTAAGAGGATAAGTAAAATTACTTTGTGTTAAATATAGTAAGTACTTTAGTTTTAGATCACCTATATATTTTCTTACTATATATACACTTAATACATTAAATGATGTTTGTAATTATTGTGTGCCATATAATATTTAGGCCTATTTAATGGGAATAGTATTTTAAATAACTATAGACATTTAGGGTAAGTGTTGGGTTTTTTTTGCACTTACAATATGATGGTTAGATCAGTGATTTCTTTGAATGCTGAATCTTAATAAAACCTCTTATTTTAACATTGCTCCTCTATGAGCAAAATATAATCAACTTTGTTCTCCAAAAATTATCAGTAATAAAAAAAACTTAAAAATAATTTTCTTGAATTTAGTCTTATTTATGTGTAAAATGGATTCCTTTTAATTGGTTAAACAAAGGACTCTCCCTCAATGTACCTTTAACTTCTAGCTTTAACAGTATTTCTGTTAAATATGTAGTTTCTTTACTAAACAAGTTTTTGTTGTTAAAAGCTAAAAGTCTACTTGGATTATAATCCATTGATTTTATTATTGTTCCAATATATTTTCTACTTCATCACTTTTCTCTCATTACTTTTGCTCTCTTATACTTACTAGTATGTGTGCAAATAATAAAAATGCAGAAAATAAGACTTTAGATAACATGTAGGTACCTTAAATTGAATGCTCCAATTCATGAGCTGAAAATACAGAAAGATGGCGCTTGAAAAGTATGGTATCCAAGACAAATTTGAAACTTTATAGTTTCTCTGGATGCAAAAACCCTAGGAAAATATATACCCAGGCTGATGAGATATTACTCTTTACTCTTTTATTATATTAACTCCCCTCCTACCACTGCTGGCCCCATTATCTATCTCAGGAGTGGAGAACTTCTATCTCATCTCAGTTTAAATTCCAATCATCCCAGATAGTAAGTCTGGTGTACTGCTCTCACATCACTCTCTTTCCCGTTCTCTCTCTAAAATCAATTGAAAAGGAGAAGGAGGAGAACAAAGAGTGCCTATAAGGGCCTGGCATGAGATTGGGGAAGTATCCTACAAAGTTCACTTTAATCTCAAATTATTCATTTTAGCCAGCAGATTTTTGGGGCTAAAGAACAACTGAGACACCTGCATTTAGTACTTATTTCAAACTCATTCCCCTCTCTATCTTCTTATCCCATATACTGTATCAGCAAGAAGTCATATAGCAGGTCGTAGTCAATGAACAACTGGAAACATCAATCTAACAGTGTCATTTATTTCTTTTGTGATTGCCAGACATTTCCCAAGTCTTACGCACCAGAAATTAATATAGCTTCATTTCTTCTCCCTGACAATCCTCATCTACTGAAAGGGCTCTAAGAGCACAACTGCAAATGACAATGTACAGTGGATATACCATGTCCTTCACTTATTTCAAAACATCTAACAGCCCATTAGACATCAGGTAGACATGAGGTACAGAAAAAGAATTTTTCTTTCCAACTCCAGATAAATATCGATATCTGGTGTCAAAGTCTCAGGATTAAAGACGATAAAACACACGTAAAAGAGGATAGATAGCAATATTCTCAGAAAATTCGGTCAGAGGTTGACTAAAGGGAAGGATGAGGACTTAGTGGGATGTAGATAAAGTGAGGTCAAGTCCAGGAAAGAAGGAATGAGTGCCTTGGCTACCAATCTTAGTGGCATTACCAGGAACACTAGGATTCTGTATTTAAAAAAATCAGGGCAATCAACCTGGTTATTTCTCAATCCTTAGAACTGAGAGGGCAAAACAAACTTCAGGAGGGCACCGATTATAACGACTGAGGAGGCTTCAAACCCCAGGTAAGTTGAGGCAGTATTTATTGCTTCTTCTAGTTTCTTCTTTCCAGCCACTTTAATGTTTGGGACATACTACACCCCACAGTGTTTTTTTATGCCTGTGGGTTTAGTTAGTCATTGCTACTTGAGGAAGACAAAACACTTCCCAGTAGAATTAGTATAGGGAAGTTCTAGCTTTTTCATCTGAAACCCATTTCTTTCTTTCAATCCTAAAACCATGTTGAGAGAACCACCTCCATAAAGTTTGTTTCCCAATGAGGGTAACCTTATTATACGAGTGACATTTCTAGCTTCTAGACTTGTCATAGCACAAATATAAAATGATTAATCAGTATGGTTTTAAAATTTTAATTTGGAATTGTTTTATAAAGTTAATGATGGAGACTACTAAACCAATGGAATTTCCAAGAACATTCTATACCCCAGGAAGAAAAGAACAACCAGTTTTCTTAGTCTTATACACGGCAAGAGGGGCCTATAGCGGGCCTTAAGAGGGAGCTCTTTGGGCAAGATAAGTGAAAAACAATAAGACTCCAATGAGGAATAGCAGGAAAACCTACCAAAAAGTGTTGGGGGAGGGAAGTTGTCAAAGTGAATAAGTAGGGAAAACAGTGAAATTTATACAGGAGGAAAGAGTTGAGAAAGTTGTTGCTTTTCACAAACAGCTGAAAGAGTACATTTCTCTTCACTCAGCCCCATAACTCAGTCCTCCCAGCACAGGTCCCCGTGACAAGAGCATCCATCCACTCGCCTAGGAATGCTCTCACACTGCCTGCCTATTTCCTTCCTCGTTTATGATTAGCCTTTGGGGGCTTTACTTTCTGGACCTGTGCTGGCACTGGTTCCTGCTCTGGTTCTTTACAGGAGGTCGACACTAGCAGTTCCTCATTATTCCTCCTCTGATCTTTCCCTACTCTAAGACTCAGCTCTGCTGACTCAGGAAGCTCCGTGCCAGCCTGCTGCCGCCTTCTCAGAGACCTCCTGCTCCTGTGCTGCTGCCTCCGCTTTTCTTCTTCTTGCTGCCGCTGCTTTATCTTCATCAGCTTTTCAAAGCTTTTGGTTGTTGCTGGGTTTACAACAAACCAATCCTACAAGGCAAAATAGAAACACTATCCAGTCAAAACACAGTGAAAAGCATAGAGAAGAGGTGTGGGAAGAATTTTAAAAGGCATGGTTAGGGCAAAACACAGAGTTTTTTAGTTTGAAAATTTACAAATCTTCTAAAGTTATTAATTTAATGAACAGCTATATTTATCATTGTTCACCTCTTTTCCTTCCTTCCTTCTTTTTGCTGAGCCATTTGCAAGTTAGTTGCAGACAAAATATTCTTCAACCCTAAATACTTCAGCATGTATCTGCCTAAGAACTAGGGTGTTCTTCTGCATAACTACAATTATCACATTTTGAAATATTAACATGGACACACTGCTATTATTTAATCTAGTTAATATTCAAAATTCCTCAGTTATCTCAATGTCCTTTATATTTGTTTCGATGCAGTATTTTATTATTTTCTTTTAATGTTTTTATTGATTTCAGAGAGGAAGGAAAAGACAGAAATATCAAAGATGAGAGAGAATAACCAATCAGCCAGCTGGGCTCTAGGAGATATTTTAAGTAGCATTAAAAAGACATTAGAATATTAGAAGCCCAGCCCATATGGCTCAGTGCTTGAGTGGTAACCTATGAACCAGGTGGTCATGGCTTGATTCCAGGTGGTCATGGCTTGATTCCATGTCCAGCTTCCAGGCTCAATTCCCTTTGTGGGGCATGCTGGAGGCAGTCGAAAAATGGTCCTTTCTCATCATTGGTGTTTCTATCTTTCTCTCCCTCTCCCTTCCACTCTGAAATCAATAAAAATATTTTTTAGAAGAATATTAGAAAATGGAAGTAGAGAGACTGCTGTTAAATAAGATGTAAATTCAGCCTGGTTCCCAAGTGCCTGATTTAACTGGATTGAACTCCAATGTCTCTAGTAACTACTTTTCTTTCCTTGACTGTCCTAGGCCACAAAAACAGAACAAAATCCATCTCTCTTATGGTGTATGTATGGGAAAAGGAAATGATTAGAAAAGAAAAACACTGTGAGAAAGCAGGACCCTCACCTCAGCATGGACAGAGTTGATGTGATACTTGACACCACTCTCTGACACAAATTCTTTCTGACATAGAAGACACTTGTATTTTCCAGCCACAAAGTTTCCCTGTTTTAAAGAAAAGAGTATTACTGGCAAACTCAGGAACACATACCTGGGCCACATGCAGGGATTGTTATTGATAAAAAGAAGGGATTCTACTTCAGCAAAGGTAAGAAGGAAGAAAATCCAAAACAGCAATATGTTTAAGAAAAACAGCTCAGGCAGACTATCACCACTATATATCTATCCTAATGCAATTCTCTACAAAAATCTCCCACCCCCTCAACACAACCCGAAATCCTCCTACTTTTATTATGTGACATGTCACATCTTTCTATCTTCTCTTGTTCACTTTCAAGGTTCTCTTGATTCCTCCCCCAAAATTATCAAATTTCTGAACTTCACTAAAGGCACCAAAGTGTAATTCTCCCCAATATAATCCATTGCTGCAAAGAGTGCCTTAAAAATCCAGGATTAGAAAAGTATCATCCATAACACAAAGTTTAAGGACTCAGAAACTAAAATCAAGATGACCACGCTCTTAAGCATTCCTAGACTGATCTGGTCTGGATGCCTACAACCCTTATTGCCGTGAACTGAGACTTCTCCCCCTTCTTGAAGCTTTGTGTTTCCAAGATGTTCATTTTGTGTGGAGATATTTCTAAAGGGGATTGGAAAGTGGCACCAATCCCCATGTCTGGTGGGTTGTAGGTCAATATGGAAAGGACTCAGTGAGGTAAATGGCTCTTAGCCTGACACCTAGGGATCTCACCTCCCACCTCCCACCTCTAGAGGCCAGTATAGTTCAGATGCATTTAGAGGTTCTTCACTAATCCAAATAAGTGCATGTAAATTGACTCTAGAAAGTTTAAGACCCAATAAGACAGGTCAGGTCCAGTGTGGTAAAGATTTAGAACTAATATTTTTCTCCAAACTCTTCAATTAATATGATTTATGGCTATCTTGGCCTTCTCTGCACTTTGGATATACCCAATAATAGACCAAGATTCTTTGGGACATAAAAAACTAAATCAGCCTCTGAAGGTAACAGAAAACAGGACAATTAGCTGTTCACCTAAACTGAATTCTCTTCTATTTCAGAAGTCATGTTAAGATATATAGTTCAGAAAGTTACTAACCAAAGTACAAGAGCCCAGGTGAGCTTTAAGGCCAGATACACTACTGTAGACAGCTTCACAACCCTGGGGGGAAAAAAAAGAAGAAAAACGACGTGAAGACTATACAAAAGAGCAACCTTCTCTCAGCAATCTGGTTTTTGACTATGACCAACCTTACATTTGTACCACAAACAGGAAAAGAATTCACATGCAAGCCACAAAAGCAAAAAGGAAAACCAACAAAAGGTTAAAAATAAAAAAGATAAAGAGGTAAGGTATTTACAAAGCCTAACTTATTCCCTTCCCTGGTACTTTTTCTGATACTTAAACATAGAAAATTACAGATTGTTTTTTTAATCTTTCTTTAGTACAAACATGTCTTTTATTACTTATATATCTACTCCTCTGCAAAGTACTGTATACATAGGTAAATTAGATTAAAGATGGCTAGAAATTCTCTGCCACTCTTCCTATCAAATGGTGGAGTCTGTTTATCCTCTCCTTGAAGCTGGGTTAGTACTGTGATTCCTTTGACCAATAGAATGCTATGGAGAGGTGCTGAACAAATTCTGAAACTAGGTCTTAAGAGATCTTCAGGTTCTACTTTCATATTCTTAGAATATATCCTCTGCTGGTAATCTAACTATCTGCTAGAGAGAGAGGCCATGTGCAGAGCCAAGCTTCCCAGTCAATTAGCTGCATAGAAGCCTTCTTGGACATTCAGGTCCCATCTGAGTTTCCAGCTGAATGCAACCTATGAGTGATCTTAGCTGATGCCATGTACAGCAGGAAAACTACCCTGGGCCCTGACAAAATTATTACAGAATTGTGAACAAATAAAATAATTGATGTTAAGTCTCTCAGGTTCAGGGGCTTTTTCACAAAGGAATAAATAACTGAAACAACAGCAGATGCCTGATAAACATTTACTGAAAAAATGAATGAGAAAGAACCACCTGATTAGGGCACTCAATACGATGGTATTTCTTGATGTCTGACTTCCATTTATGTAGTACTTCCTGGCTGAAGGTAGGTAGCCCAGGGCGAGTATATTTTAACTACAAGATAAGAAAGATTTTATTGGAAGAATCCAACTTCCAAAACACCCCAAAAGTTTCAACCCAACTCTTCAGGTTATGAAATTCTGGAGTTCCACAAGTGTATCTTCATATAAAAATAAACAAATAAGCCAAAACCAGTTTGGCTCAATGGATAGAGCGTCGGCTTGGGGACTGAAAGGTCCCGGATTCGATTCTGGTCAAGGGCATGTACCTTGATTGCGGGCATATCCCCAGTAAGAGGTGTGCAAGAGGCAGGTGATCAATGACTCTCATCGATGTTTCTAACTCTCTATCTCTCTCCCTTCCTCTCTGTACAAAACCAATAAAATATATTTTTAAAATAAATAAATAAAAATAAACAAATAAATAAATAATTATAATATGTAAGACCCTTTAAAGTTCCTGAAACTACCCTACCCAATTTGGTTCAGGGATAGAGTGTCAGCCCACAGGCCAAAGGATCCTAGGTTTGATTCCAGTCAAGGGCACATATCTCAGCTGCAGGCTCAATCCCCAGTGAGGGTGTTTGTGCAGAAGGCAACTGATCAATGATTCTCTCTCATCATTGATGTTTCTCTCTCTCTTTCCCTCTCCTTTCTTCTCTGAAATCGACAAAAATACATTTTTTTAAATGATAGGGAAATGTCAAAAAGAGCTTTTCATGGCCAAATACAATTTGAGCAGCAAAATAAATAACAATAACATTGAATCATAGGCCATTGAATAAAATAAATACCCATGAGTCCATACTAATATAAAACAAATTAGAAGGACAGAGCTGTCTCTTAATAATTGTAGAAGAAACAAAAAAATAATAATAATAATAAAGCAAACACCACAGTAATAATTGCTGGAAGCCTGAATCATTGATGGATACTAAAGTAAGTGGGAAGTAGACAAAAAAGGTTAGTTATGTAGTCTCAATCTCTCAATTATTGAAAATATTCACTCATTAGAAAGGGGAAAATTGTAATTTGCCATAGAAAAAGCTGGACAACACACCCTAATCAAGCGTTTAGCATTTACCTCAGTTAAATATAAACTACATATGGCCAGGACAGGTTTGGCTCAGTGGATAGAGCGTCGGCCTGCGGACTGAAGGGTCCCGGGTTCGATTCCGGTCAAGGGCATGTACCTTGGTTGTGGGTACATCCCCAGTGGGGGGTGTGCAAGAGGCAGCTGATCGATGATTCTCTCTCATCGATGTTTCTGACTCTCTGTCCCTCTCAAATCCTCTCTGTGTAAAATCAATAAAATATATATATTTTTTTTAAAAATAAACTACATATGAACTAATGAAGTGGAAACACATTAGGCAAGGACCAAGCAAAAGCTAATTTGGGAATTTAGGTACGCCCTGGGAATGGTCCAAAATTAAGAGGCCCCTTAAAGGAGCTTCTGAAACACACTGTTTCTCTAAAACCTACATGACCTGAACACTGGAGCTGGATCAGATGTACTTCATCTCCAAGGATAAAGAAGCAAAATATGCTATGGATGAGGACAGTGGGGGGTGAGGATAGGGCAGAGGGCGGGGTGGGAACCTAGTGGAGGGGAGCAATGGAGGGGAAAGGAAATGGGGAACACTTGTAATAATATGAACAATAAAGATTTATTAAAAAAAAAAAAAAAGAAGAAGCAGCAGCAGCAGCAGCAGCAGCAAAATATGCCCTAGCCAGTTTTGGCTCAGTGGATAGAGAGCATCAGCCTGCAGACTGAAGGGTTCCAGGTTCGATTCCGATCAAGTGCATGTACCTTGGTTGCAGGCTCCTCCCTGGTCCCGGCCCTGGCCAGGGCTCATGCAAGAGGCACTCAATTGATGTGTTTCTCTCACATCAATAATTCTGTCTTTTCCTCTCTCTAAAAATCAATGGAAAAATATCCCTGACTGAGGAAAAAAAAAAAAAGCAACAGCAAAATATTGTTTATCATGCACTCACTCAAGTGCATGTAATAAGCATAGTATCAGACATAATCCTTCAAAGGTAATACAAGTTTCTACCTTACCTTCCGGTCATCAGGTATCAGATCCTGAAGAACCTTCCTCTTAGGCCATTCCTTGGCCAGTTCTACCGAGGCCAGCTCCTGCAGGTGGTACACAGCTATCTTGGCAGAACGCCTCTGAACTCGGCCCCCACCCCTTGGCTCCAGGCTCAGCTCTTTTAAGCACTCTGGCTGTCCTGACCCCGGAAAGATCTGCAAAAATGAAACATAGCAAACAAAACACAAACCTGAGAAGTGTCTTCCAAAAGAGGTGTTAAAGGCTGTCCTTTCTGTTCTCAATAGCAAAAGAGCTATTCATTATCTTGCTAATCACTATCATAAAGCCCCACCATCTTAATGTACATTTTACCTCACATTACATACAAAAATTAACCCAAAATGGGTAAGAGCCCTGTGTAAGCCATAAAACAATAAAACTTCTAGGAAAAACCAAGGGGTAAATTTTTGGTGATCCTAAGTATAATTTTGTTAAATGTGTTGTCCAGTTACAATTAACATACAATATCATATTAGGGGAGTGATGGTTTATTGATGTGTCAACTTGGCTAGGCTGCAGTCATCAGTCATTCAAACACTAATCTAGTTGCTGATGTGAAAGTATTTTATAAATCTGATTAAAGTCCACAATCAGTTTACTTTAAGTAAGAGAGATGTGACAGTAGAGGCAACAGAGATTCAAAGAATGAGATAAACTTAACACTATTGTTGAAAATGAAGGGTCCATGAGGCAGGGAAAGTAGGTGGGCTTTATTAATAGAAGCTCAGAACAATTCCTGGCCTACAGCAAGGAAATGAGGTCCTACAACTGCATGGAGCTGATTTCTTAAGCAACCTTAAGGAGCCTAGAAACAGATTTTCCCCTCAAGCCTCATAAAGGAATGGCCCTAATGAAACTTTGATTCCAGCCTGGTGAGGCTCTCCACAGGGGAGCCAGCTGTACCGACTGTATCTGGAATGCTAACCTAATGAACTGTGAGATAATATAGTTGTATTGTTTAAGCCATTAGTTTGTGGTGATATTTTTTACAGCAGCAACAGAAAATTATACAATTGGTTGGGCAAAAATATCTTAGATACAAGAACAAAAGTATTATCCATAAAAAAAAAAAAAGATAAATTGTACTTGATCTGCTCTTTAAAGAACACTATAAAATATGAAAAGATGCTACAGAATGGGCGAAAATATTTGCAAAACACATCTGATAAAGGACTTGTGTCCAGAATATGTAAAAAAAAAAAAAAAAAAGACTCTGAATACAATAAAAATTTAATAGTAAGACAACAAGAACTCCAATAATAAAATGAACAAAGGATTTTTTTAAATATATTTTATTGATTTTTTTTACAGAGAGGAAAGAAGAGGGATAAAGAGTTAGAAACATCGATGAAAGAGAAACATCGATCAGCCGCCTCCTGCACACCCCCTACTGGGGATGTGCCCGCAACCAAGGTACATGCCCTTGAACAGAATCGATCCTGGGACACTTAAGTCTGCAGGCTGATGCTCTATCCACTGAGCCAAACCAATCAAGGTGACAAAGGATTTTTACAGACACTTCACAAATGAAGATACTTCATTAAAGATTGACATTGCCAATAAGTAAATGAAAAGATGATCAACATCATTAAATCAGGGAAATGCAAATTAAACCACAGTAAAATACCACTACATACCTCTCAGAATGGATTTTTTTTAAATAAAATTGACAATTTCAAGTGCTGAGAAGGATTCAAAGCAACTGGAATTCTCATCCTTTGCTGGTGAGAAGACAAAATGGCATAGCCACTTTGGAAAACAATTTGGAAGTTCCTTATAAAATTAAACATACATTTATCATATGACCTAGCAATCCCATACCTAAGTATTTACCCAAAGTAAAACTTATTTTCATACAATAACTTTTTAAATCTTTATTACTGAAATTATTACTTATGTCCCCCTTTTTCTCCTATTGACCCCTTCTAGTCCTCCCCCAGGCCTTCACCACCATATTGTCTGTATCCATGGATTATGCATACATGCATACAAGTTCTTCGACTGACTTCTTCCCACCCACCCTCCCTCTGGTTCCATGCTTCTATATCTCTGGATCTATTTTGTTCATCAGTTTATTTTGTTCATTTGATTCCACATATGAGTGAGATCATGTGATATTGTCTTTCTCTGACTGGCTTATTTCACTTAGCATAATACTCTCCAGCTCCCTCCATGCTGTCTCAAAGGGTAAGAGATCCTTCTTTATTATTGCTGTATAGTATTCCATGGTGTAAATGTACAACAGCTTTTTTATCCACTCATCTACTGATGGGCATTGAGGCTGTTTCCAGATCTTAGCTATTATAAATTTCACTACTTTGAACATAGGGATGTGTAAAGTCTTTCTGATTGGTGTTTCATAACTCTTAGGATATATTCCTAAAAATAGGATCACTAGATCAAATGGCAGTTCCATAGCTAATTTTTTGAGGAAACTCCATACTGTTTTCCATAATGGCTGCACCAGTCTGCATTCCCACAAAGTGTCACACAATACCTTTTTTTTTTATTATTGTTTTAGAGGGAAGGGAAGAGGGAGAGAGAAAAATATCTATTGGCCTTCTACATGCCGCCCACTCGGTACCAAGCCCACAACCCAGGCATATGCCCTGAAGAACTAATTACAAAGAGACATAACGAAATTTGGGGAAGATTATCAAATTGTTCTATATCTTGATTATGGTGATGGTTACATGACTATATGAAGTTGTCAAAACTTTTATAACGGTACACCAAAAGGGTGAATATTAATTACCACATGCAAATTATATCTTGAAACTTAACTCTTAAACATGAGGTAAGGGGAATGTGAAAATGTAATAATAAAAAAAAAAAAGTCAACACAAATAAATTTGAATACAGAAAACAGCCGGACAGATTTCCACAAAATTTCTAGCTAAGGGGGAATGCCTTAAGCTGTAAAAAAAATAATAATGCGTTTACTTCTGCTTACACTGTATAATGAACTTTGATTTCTCTAAGCTAAGAATATTCAAAAGGCAGAAATAAGAGAACAAAGGAAGAACCAGGAAAAGAAAACAAAAGTTTCATAATTAAATGAGAATACAGACGAGGAACCAAGAATGTATGAGAAAATATAGGACTAAGCAGCTACCCAGAATACCCCAGTCTGGAAAGTAATCAGTACTCACAGGCCCATGCTCTGACCTCAGGTGATACGCAAGTCCAGCCTTCGATCTATATGGCTTCCCACAGTGGTGACACTTCAAGATCATCTCCTCCAGCTCCGCAGCCTCTTTGCCACATTTTTTGACATGGTACAGATATCCCATGATGCTGGTGAAGCTACTAGAGCAACTCTGAACACAGGAGAGAAACCAAAACCATAATCTTATATCTTTTAACATGATCTCTAAATTTCTCCACAGCCACAGGCAGTCAACCACCACTCCACACAAATAGACCCTCTGATGTCACTAGACCCTTCCCAGCATTTCCCATTGGCACACCCTCTTCTTGTCCCTGGCCCAACAGCTGCTCTGTCTACCACCAAGCATCAAATTCAATGTTCTGTCCACATTTAACAAACTAGAATTGTGCACCTCTTCTTGTCAGAGCTTCCTCCTTAGTCTCTGACCCAAAATCAATACCCAGTAATATCAAAGTTCCTCACAGTGAGGTTACTAGGAGCCTCTTCATCACACCAAAGAAAGGGGGGTAAAGAAATCCCTTCAAACAAAGGATAAAGGGGGGAAAATAATTTTTTAGAGATAAGAAAAAAATAAAGAACTATTAATGAGTTGAGGAGACCTGGAAAAGCGGGAACCACTCTTATGCAGGAAGATGATACCGAACCAGGTCTACAAGGGAGGAGGAGGAGAAATGGAAGAGAATAACAGGAAGACATGGGCCTAAGACTCCAGGCAGAAGGACGTGCCGTCCTTTGGTTCTTACCTCACGCATGCACCTGAGCTTTCCCAGTCTCTTTAGAACTGTTCGGAGCCGTTCCCTCTCACTTGGCTCATCTATTTCATCTCCGGCCTTCAAAATGGGCTAGAAAGCAAGAGAAGCAAACAAGCAGATAATTCATTGAAAAGACAGATATAGGGGGAAAAAAATTGTATTATAGAAGAATCAAGAACTAGGACTAGACTAGCACTTAAGCTGATGCCCATGAAGCCTATCTTATCTGACTCCTGGCTTTCTCTATCTCCTAGACAGACAAGGAAGTGAATGTAATGGACATCTAAGACACCCAAACACCACGTAGGCTCATATAGGACAGAAGAAACTCTTACCAAACTATTATGATTTGCCATGACGTGATACTTCATCCCTGCCAATGAACGAAGTTGTTTCCCACAATGATGGCAAGTAAACATTTCCTACAGAGGAAAAATACTGCTCAGTGCCAGTCTATTCAACAGAGAAAAAGAATGCCACGAAGTCCTATTCAAATGCTGTCCTCTGTATCTCCTGTATTTCCCAAACTCAAAAGTCAATGAATCTCAAAATCCCATAAACTCCATGTCACATCCTCAAGGAAAGAGAATTAAAGGCAATTCATTTCTTACAAAATAGAAATTACCATTTACTGAATGTCAATACTTGCCAAATAATGGGGTAGGAACTTAGCATGTGTTATTTCTTTCTTATCCCTCTCATAAACTATCCAAATAGTAATTATTTTATTTCTATTTTATAAATGAGAAAACATGAGTTCACACATAAAAAGCTAAATGATACAACTAGTAAGTGGCTGAGTAAAGATTCAAACCCAACTCTGTCACAGTCCAAAGCCTATGTTTTCCCTATGACAATGTTGCCTCTTCTCCACGGTAATCAGCATATCCTACACAGTGTCAGATATCTAAACTTTGGGTAAAAGATGATAATATAACAGTCATGAAATGCCACAAAATATCTAACCTGTTTGCAGTTTTCCATGTGTTTCTTTAAGCCCTCTATGGTCTTCCTCCCCACTGCCTGGCAGGTGGGACAAGAGACACTGCCTTTATCCACAATTTCTAAGTACCACTGCTCCTCTAAACTGCCTACAAAGAAGATAAAAGAACATGATATAATCTGTGGTACTCTCCAGAAACAAAAAGCACAATTCCAGCACTTAGGAAAAGTATCACAAAATGGGTTTTCCCCTTCCTGGGGAAGAGACTCCTATTGTTTATGACTTCTAGAAATAATTTTTCCAACAAGTGAGGAGTTTCTGAAATTTCTACTAAATTCCCCATGATTAAAAACCATTTAAGAAACCTCCAAATCCCAATGGCTTAAAGAACTAGGCAACAAGCACCTGGAAGGGAACACTACCAAGTGTGAGTCTCCTCGTGTAGGAGCACCATGTTAACAATCCAAACCATCAAATCAGGACGCGGACACTTTGTTAACCAGCTAATGGCCACGTGTCCAAAATGGAACCATCCCATTTCTTCCAGATGCACTGGAATGTTTAGAATTTAAGTTGCCATGATTATCTTTACACCCAGAGATGTCACTAACAGTCTGACTTCAAAACTGGGCAAGGTCCACCACTTGCGCCTATGGATGCTGAAGAGACTATAGCTCTAATTTTTAGTCAAAGGTTTGGGCTGCTGCAAAAATGTTACTTTGAATATATTTTAAATTGTTAAGATAATTTTTTGTGTTTTTGTTCCATGTGATTGGAATGATTGTCAAGTATCTGCAAATAGGGTAATTGTGAAGCATTAAGCATTTACTGGTGAAAAATGTATATATTCCCATTCTAGGAAATAAGTTAGTAAAACTGAATAAATGCTTTAAAGTTAAAAAAAAAAAAAAAAAAAAAAAAAGAACTAGGCAATATTTCTTTTCCAACTTTATTGAGATATAACTGACAACAGGTAACATTTTTCATAGCAGCATTTAATAATGGGATACTGAGCCGAGACCGGTTTGGCTCAATGGATAGAGCATAGGCTTGGGGACTGAAGGGACCCAGGTTCGATTCCGGTCAAGGGCATGTACCTTGGTTGCGGGCATATCCCCTGTAGGGGGTGTGCAAGAGGCAGCTGATCGATGACTCTCTCTCATTGTTGTTTCTAACTCTCTATCTCTCTCCCTTCTTCTCTGTATAAAATCAATAAAATATATATTTTTTTAAAAATGGGATACTGAGATATGTAATAGCCAGTTTGCTTAGTGCTTCCTATGCCTGAGACTTTGTTAAATGTTTTTATCTCATTTAATTATCACAATTCTGACTGCCTTTATTATCCGTATTTAGAGTCAGGGAAATTGAAGCTTACAAAAATTAGGTTGAGGCAGATGAGAAAATTAATGAAGAGCCAAAACTTGAACAAGTGTCTGTCAGACCTTCAAACCCATGCTTATTACCTTTTCCTTCTTAAAGAAGTGCTTTTCTACATCATTCCTATACCAACAATAACAACAAAAATCAGAATGAGTGAACTAGATCCCACAAAGCTTCCAACAGAAAGCATACCTGCTGCATAAGCTGGTGGTTCCTTCCGACTACGACGAGCCTGGGGTTTGGGATTAGGCTGAGTTTTAGGCCGTTGCTTCCTCCCTGACGCAAGACAGAAACTTGAAGCCCAACGTATCACCTTTGCTAACCCCTCTCTAGTACCAACATCTCTTCCCTCCTCTCCTCAACACCCTATGCCCCAGTCTCTTAACCAACTGATTCCCTTAAATAATGACAGAAGGAAGTGAGGGTAAATAAGGCAGGATGGAAGCCATGCCTTGCCTAAAAACTCAAAGGGTTCTAAAGTGTTTCAAGGGCCAAACCCAAAAGTCTCTCTCCCTCAAAGAGCAAAGCCTAGGTACCCCGGGGGAAAGAACTAGCCAAGTTACACCATTACCATACAGCTTATGCTTCTTCTGAGGAAATTCTCGATAATCTTCATCTTCTTCCTGCCTGGGCTTCCTTTTTCCTTTAGTTGATACTTCATCTGACTCTGAAATATCATACACAAGACCTAAGTAGGGTATAGAAATGAACATCTGGGTCTGCTTTCAAAACATCACTCACACCAAAGGAAAAGATCATTAGCAAGCACAGGCCTCAGAAGTGCCTGTGACATTGTTAAAGAAGTTGATATAGCCCTAGCTGGTTTGGCTCAGTGGTTGAGCGGCCAGTGTGGCTCAGTGGTTGATACTCAACCCATGGACTAAAAGGTCACCAGTTTGATTCCTGGTCAGGGCACATGCCCAGATTGTGGGTTTGATCCCAAGTAAAGCACAGGAGGCAGCCGATGGATACTGATGTTCTCTCTCATTGATGTTTCTCTCACATTGATGTTTCTCTCTCCCCTTCTCCCTTAGTCTCTCTCTAAAATCAATAAAAACATTTGAAAATGATACCTTCAACATGGGGAGTAGCAGCTGGCTTGATCCTTCTCATCTTCATACAGTAGGTAGATTTTCGGAAGGTTGCTGGAATATCACTTACTGGTTCACATGACGAGGCAGATGATGAGCCGCTAAAGGAATCATCGTGAGGAATAGTGTACTGGAAACTGTTATCCTTTATGAAGCACTTGTTCCTGCTACTAATATGACACAAAGATATATACTGTAAAGAAGAGTGTGGAATAAAGTTCCTATTAATTGTTTTATATCATTAAGAAGATAATCAACTTGGTTACCTTTGTAAAAACAAATAAGTCTGATAATAAAAACAATTTAAATTATAATCTTCAAGCAAATACAATACAATAATCTAACACAATCCATACAACTAGTATTATACTTCTTTATAACCAGAAAGAGTAAGCTTTTCACATAAGTGAATACTCTGCAGCCCAAGAAGGCATTACTTTCTAGATTCATCCAAGAAAAGAAACTAGTCTAAGTAATAGGGTATTCTGTGGCCAGACGATACCCTGGATCTACAGCCAGGTATGTCAGGTTTCCTTATTTCTCAGACAGAGGGTCCTGAGAATAAAGGAACCGAAGGTCGTAACCAATTTGGCTCAGTAGATAGAGTGGTGGCCTGTGGACTCAAGGGCCTCAGGTTTAATTCCAGTAAAGGGCATGTACTTTGGTTGCGGGCACATCCCCAGTAGGGGGTGTGCAGGAAGCAGCTGATTGATGTTTCTCTCATCAATGTTTCTAACTCTCTATCCCTCTCTTTTATTTCTGTGAAAAATCAATACAATATATTTTGGAGAATTAAAAAGGAACAGAAGAACAGTTTGTAGGCCCTATTTTGATCCATGTGCCTTCTCCCTCAGTCTTCTCCCTAAACCCTGATGTCAGAGCTACCCTATCTTACTTAGGCAACATGATTCTTAGCTCCTATATATAGCTAAAGGAAGGGTGCTATCTTGACTTGGTTAAGCTGGCTAAGAAATCTGGTATACAATTGGACCCAAATTCCCAAATCCAAGACAAGCAAGTCAGTATGACATTAACAAACTTAATGAGTAACTACAAATTATCTTCTAGGTGGCTCAGGATATGGTAAAACAACATTTGTCAAGGTGAGAGGCCACTTTATTATTTTTTTTATGTTTCTTTTTATTTGTTTGTTTTTCATCTTTATTGTTGAAACTATTGCATATGTCCCCTTCCCCTCACTCCTACCCCCTCCAGCCCACCCTCCCCAACCCCTGCCCAAGCTTTTACCGCCCTACTGTCTGCATTCATGGGTTATGTACATATGCAGACAAGATATTTGGCTGATTACTAAGTGTGAAGCCACTTTAGATTTATGGTTTAGAAAGGTCATTCAGGATGCTGTATGGAAGATGATACGTAAAGCAAAAATGTATAAAGGAAGTTGTATGGATGAGATGATGAGGGCATGAACTAAGGTTTTATAATAAAGATAAGCTGACAGCCCTAACCGGTTTGACTCAGTGGATAAAGTGTCAAGTCTGCAGATTGAAGGGTCCCAGGTTCGATTATGCACCTTGGTTGCAGGCACATCCCCAGTAGAAGGTGTGCAAGGGCATGCACCTTGGTTGCAGGCACATCCCCAGTAGAAGGTGTGCAAGAGGCAACAGATCAACGTTTCTCTCTCATCGATATTTCTAACTCTCTATCCCTCTCCCTTCCTCTCTGTAAAAAAAATCAATAAAATATATATATTTTTAAAAAGATAAGCTGACATATTTAAATAACACTTTAGAGGTATAGCTGATAAGAATTAAAGATAGAAGTTTTATGAGCAGGGAGCTGGAAGAAATACAGGTGACCATTCTTAAGAAACTATGTAAAAATGTGATAGAAATAATAAACCATTTCACACAGAGACATGAAAATAAAAAGCATACTACTGAATGAAAAGAGAAACAGAACAAGATCTATAGCACGTCAATTCAGTAGATTAAAAAAAAAACAAACACATGTAAATATCACTAGCTATTTTGCAAGAATTCATAAATACAGAACAGGAAACGAAGATAGTGGCATAGATAAACACCTAAACTGCTGCCTTGCACAACAATTTCAAAACTACAACTAAAAGGCAAAACTGACATCATCCAGAACCACAGCAAAGCTGGCTGAGTGGACATTCTACAATTAGAAGGAAAGAAAAAAGCTCACGGAAAATCAGAAGAGCTACAAAGGACTGAGGTACGGAGACACGTGCACAGAGAGGAAGGGCGGCTGAACGCCTGACTGGCGTTCTCTGGTGAGAGAGGGATGGAAGCCCCCAACTGCACTGAACCCCAGTTCCAACTACACTGAACCCCAGTTCCGGGTAAAACCCCGTGGACCCCGGCTCATATGGGAGAAGTCTGGACTGTCAGGTAAAGATAAAGGCACATGGAGACTCGGAGACTTGAGGAAACCACGGCAGGAAGGGGTCTGGAGGCATGCAAGCACAGAGAAGACTGACTGCTAAGGTTACCGCTCGCTCTCCCTAGTGGAAGGGAGTCGAAGCTCCTGACTGCACTGAACCCCAGTTCTGGGCGAACCTGGGAGAACCTGAACTGTTAGGTGGAAACTCAGGGAAGCCGCAGAAGGCAGAGGTCTGGAGGCCTGCACGCAAGGGCAGGGCTGACGGGAAACCAAAACTGTGTGCTCAGCCCTGAGATTCCGCCCCATCCAAGCTGAGAATAGAGGCTTTTGCAATTTTGCAAGTCTGGTCCTATAAGGCTGTCTCCAGCACAGGTCTCCAGGCATAGACACAGCTGAAACACATAGCCAATTGGCCTGGAGGTTAATTCATCCCAGTGACACCAACAACAATCAAGACTTAACTACAGCCGGGACCGGTTTGGCTCAATGGATAGAGCTTCGGCTTGGGGACTGAAGGGTCCTGGGTTCGATTCCGGTCAAGGGCATGTACCTTGGTTGTGGGCATATCCCCAGTAGGGGGTGTGCAAGAGGCAGCTGATTGATGACTCTCTCTCATCGATGTTTCTAACTCTGTATCTCTCTCCCTTCCTCTCTGTAAAAAAACAATAAAATAAATAAATAAATAAATAAATAAATAAATAAATAAATAAATAAAATAAAATAAAAAAATGACTTAACTACAGCCCTAACCGGTTTGGCTCAGTGGATAGAGGGTTGGCCTGTAGACTGAAAAGTCCCAGGTTCAATTCCGGTAAGGGCATGTACATTGGTTGTGAGCACATCCTCAGTAGGGGGTGTCTAAGAGGCAGCTGATCGATGATTCTTTCTCATTGATGTTTCTAACTCTCTATCCCTCTCTCTAAAAAGTCAATAAAATATATTAAAAAAAAAAAAAAAAAAAGAATTTCCTAGAAAAGGCCGATAAATTTAGTGAGACCCTCGAGGATATGAAAAAGGAACAACTAGAAATTAAACACTGACTGAAATAAAAAATATTATACAGAGACTCAACAGCAAACTAAAGGAATGGTAAGAATCAAATCAAAGATCTGAAATACTAAGGAGCAAAAAACACTCAAACAAAAAAGAAAAAAGAATCCAAAAAGTTGGCCGAAACCGGTTTGACTCAGTGGTAGAGTGTCGGTCTGCGGACTGAAAGGTCCCAGGTTCGATTCTGGTCAGAGGCATGTACATTGGTTGCAGGCAAATCCCGGTAGAGGGTGTGCAAGAGGTAGCTGGTCAATGTTTCTATCTCTCTGTGAAAAAATCAATAAAATAAAAAATAAAATAAAAAGCAGCAAGAGAAAAACAGTTAATTACCTACAAGGAAGCACCCATAGGATTGTCAACTGATTTCTCAACAGAAACTATGCAGGCCAGATGGGAGTGGCAAGAAATATTCAAAGTGATGAATACCAAGAACCTACAACCAAGATTACTCTGCCCAACAAAGTTATTCAGATTGGAAGGCCAGATAAAGAGCTTCACAAATAAGAAAAAGCTAAAGGAGTTCATCATCACCAAACCAGTATTATATGAAATGCTGAAAGGTATTCTTTAAGAAGAGCAAGAAAAAAAAAGTAAAAATAAAAATTATTAACAACAAATATATATCTATCAAGAAGTGAACCTAAAAATCAAGTGAATTAAAAATCTCAGGAACAGAATAAACTGATGAATATAATAGAATCAGGGGTATAAAAAGGGAGTGGACTGATAATTCTCAGGGGGGAAAGGGTATGTGGGGTGCAGGAAGAGACTGGACAAAAATCATACACCTGTGGATGAGGACAGTGGGAGGGGAGGTAAGGGAAGAGGGTGGGGTGGAAATCTGGTGGAGGGGAGCTCTGGGGGGTGAAAGGTAGGAGAAACTATTGTAATAATCTTAACAATAAAGACTTGTTAAATTTAAAAAAATAATAATTCATAAATACAGGGGTCAGCACAAGTAGGTTTACAGCCCTGGCTGGTGTGGCTCAGTTGGTTGGGCTTCATCCTGGTCAGGGCACATGCCTGAGTTTTGGGCTTGATCCCTTGTGCTGTGCAGGAGGGGCTGTGCAGGAGGCAGCCCATGGATGATTCACTCTCACATTGATGTCTCTCTCTCTCTCCCTCTCTCTCTCTCTCTCTCTCTCTCTCTCTCTCTCTCTCTCCCCCTCTCCATCCCTCTCTCTCTCTCTCTCTCTAAAAATCAATTTAAAAATCTTTTTAAAAAGTAGGTTTACAGTTGTTTGAATGAAAAATATAATAATTACTAAGTAGTTATCTATAATAATAAATGCATAATATGCTAATTAGACCAGTTGTCTTTCAGGACAAAGCCAGGACTGCAAGGGAAGCCAGTGCCAGCAGCCAGGGAAAAGAAGGCCTATTCTTGCACAAATTTCATGCATCAGGCCTCTAATATCAAAATAAACTCTATTTTGCATATTCACAATTGTAAACCTACTTTTTCCCACCCCTCTATTTAAGGGTAAATATCAAACTTGTTAACATGGTTGTCTATTGGGAGGAAGGGGGTGGAAATGGGAGTAAGAAAAAATAACAGGGACTGATAATGTCAAATGTTACAAAAAGGGTAGAATGATTTTCAGCTCTCTGCACATGAGCTCTAAGATTATCAGTTACAAAGAAGTCCTGGTTCTGGCATAGTGGCATAAGCCCATTATACCTACTGACTATAACTAAAAACTCTGGACTCTGGCCAGGCCCGGAGCAGCTGGGCCCAAAACAGCTCGCTCCTCACCTGCCCATGCCCCAGGGCTGCTTCTCAGACATGGCTGGAAACTTTTGGGGGAACTTGAGGGTCTGCTGAATCAAGTGATGAAGGCTTAGATCTGGATGTGAGTTGTTGTAGCGCTGGGGTGTTGATCTGTGAGCGCCTTGTGTGGGGTCTGGATGAGGTTGGTTATCTATTTGGATGTGTCTTTTGTTTGAAGTGTATCCTTGGGAATGTGGAGGTATTATTGATTTGAGAAAATGCTAAGTAATTGATTTGCTACCTGAAAAATTTAAAGTTCTGAAAGTTTAAGGTCTCTTGCCAAAAAGAGGTTTTAAAGCTAACACCTTAATTTTAATGGAGAAAGGGGAGGACATGCCCTTCCCACCCAGAACAGGTAATCCAATTCCAGCCAGCAGCTATCTTTAAACAATGTGTTCATTTACATTTGAATGGCTATGCCTTTTGATAGCCCAAGGGCAAGTTTACATATAAACAAGTTTGCTTCTCAGTTCCCAGGGAAGAAAAAAAAACAAGGTTTAAAATTATTAGATTTTAAAATTTATTCTTAAAACATAAAAATTTATTAATTTTAAAAAAAGGAAATTAAAAAACCTGATGAACAATATTAACTGTTGATTATAATAGAATCAGAGATACGGGTGGGGAGTGGACAGACAATTCTCAGGAAAAGGGTTGTGGTGGATGCGGGGAAGAGACTGAACATAAACTGTGCACCTATGAATGAGGACAATGGGGGGGTGGGGAAAGGGCAGAGGGTGGGGTGGGAACCTGGTGGAGGGGGGAAAAAATGAGGAACTTTTGTAATAATAGAAACAATAAAGATTGATTTAAAATAAAAATAAAAATAAAATAAAAAGAAATAAAAACTCTGGACTCTGAAAAGTTTATAAAATCACGTGGGTTGTGGAGAAGAGTAAAAAAATGAGGGTGTATTTCTCAGTTTTTCCCCCCTCACATGTGGCTTTGCAACAAGGGTTGGTCCTTACTTGCAGTGCATGATGGTCTAAATCCCAATAGATAATACACCTTTCTGGCCAGAGAAACCAGGAAAAGGGATACCTATAGAGCATGTGTGTGGTGGGAGGAGTCACAGAGGAGAGATATGGCAAAAAAGGATCCCATAATTCTGGGTATGAATCCACACAAATCATGGCTCAGCCTGATCTATGTATGTGTGGAACATACCCAAACCAGCTTTTGTAAAGGCTTAAAAAAATGAAATAAGACCAACCCCTGAGCTACTAGTGTGAGATGGACCCAAACCAATGTATCAAAAGCTTTGAGAGCAAAAATAAGTTTTGAAACACCCCCAAAAAAGTTTCAGATTTACCCATGGGCTATTTATGTACAAAATATACCTAAACCATCATAGCAGAGACTCAAAGAATTGAACTGATATTGAACCAATGCCCTCAAAAGGCAAAATCACTTATGGTTTGAACATAAACAGGTTACCTTTTAAATTAAAAACATTAACATTTCCCAGAAGATTCTGAAACGACCCAGAGTCTATATATATATATATATATATATATATATATATATATATGTGTGTGTGTGTGTGTGTGTGTGTATGTATATAGCATTCACAATCTTGAGAACTCCAAAATTATGCAATATACAATCAGGAAAATGTGAGCAAATTCTCAAAGAAACAGATGATAAAGAGATGACAACCCCAATATAATCTACATGTTGGAACACAGACTTTAAAACAACTATTATAACTATGCTCCATAAAATAAAACACATTTGAAATGAAGGAAAAGGTACTAGATTTATCAGGGTGATTTATTTCGTAAGTTATATGTATAAGCACTATGTTGTACACTTGAAACTAATATACTTGTATGTCAATTGTAACTAAAAAAATTCAAAATTAAAAAAACACACAATGAAACATCATTATATACCCACTAAATTAGCTAAAACTAAAGACTTACTCTCATAAACTGCTGGCAGGAATGTAAAACAATACCATCCTTTTGGAAAACAAGTAATGTCTTGTAAAGTTAAACACACTCCTGACATATGTATGACCTAACCATCTTAAACACTAAATACCATCTCAGATACTTATCAAGTGAAACAAAAACATTTTTCTACACAGAGACTTGTGCAAGAATCTTCATAGCAGCCTTACTATAATACCCCCAAATTGAAAATAACCCAAATATTCATCAAGGTAGATGGCTAAATAAATATGTTCTATCCATAATGGAATTCTACTCAGTATTAAAAACTACCTTTCATTCAAAATCATTATTCCGAGTGAAAGAAATCATGCAAAAAGACAACATAATGTATAATTTCATTTATATAAAATCCTAAAACATGCAAACCACTGTAGTGACAGACAACAGGTCAATGGTGTCTGAAACATAGATACTTAGTAAATGTTATCTGAATGAATTAATCCCTTCCAATAAACACCTAGTTAACTCCTTTTTGCATTAATATGTAAAAGCTTAGCACATTCAATATACAAAATACACCAGTCTGGAAGCCAAATAGTTGGAAAATACAAGGATATCTTAAGAGTCATCTTCATTATTCCTTCCTATGTTCATCAATGTAATCCATATGTACATAAATGGAGAGCTACAACTGAGTCCTACCTTGCATTTTTATTATAACTCGCACTTTTTCAAGCTAAGTTTTTCTCTGGGGTTTAAACCTGCCCTGTCCAATGTGGTAGACATTAGCTACAGGTGGCTATTTCAATTCACGATCATTCAAATCAAAAGCAATTTAAAAATAGTTTCTCACAGTGGCCACATTTCAAGAGCTCAAAAAGCCATGGGTGGCTAGGAGCTACAGCACTGGGCAGTGCGGATACGAAAATATTTTCATCATCACAGGTAGCTCTCTAATGGGCTGCGCCGGCGACACAATTACAAACGGACCTCAGAAAACCTCACTTACGTCTTAGTTCCCACGATCCTCGTGCTCCTCTGCTGCTTAAAGGATGGGGGTCCCGAAGTCTATCAAACGCAAGCACACGAGTGAATGCTAGGGGGGGGTCTCTGAACCTTGACCACGAAAAGACCATTCCCCGGTGCCCAGAAGACATGAAGCTCTCCCGGGGCAACCACCTCAAACCGAAGGAGGCAGGGCTTTTTCTTTTCTTTTATTTTAGGAAAAGTGTGCCGATCTATCTTCCTAGGGCAGGTGACAACACCAGAGCCTTCATCTTCCCCATTCTGAAAACCCTGTCTGGATAGAGGCTCTGAAAGGAGGAGAAAAAAAGAAGAGGACAATGGATATGGGAGGCATCGGACATACAAAAAAAGAAAAAAAAATAGAATAGAAACTAATGGCGATGTGGCGACGACCTGAATCCCAGGTGGTGAGGAACAGGCAGCGGAGAAAAGTGGGGAGAAAAGAGGAGGACAGGTAGCTCGGACCTAAAAGGGTGGGGCCTGCGATGGGCTCTGATAAGAACCAACGGTGAGGCTTTTGGGACAAAAGCGAGGGCCGCCGCGTGTCGCGGGCTCCACAGCGCTCCCTCGGAAGCATAACGGCCAAACCGAGAAACTCACGGCGGGAACTGCACCGAGCCTGGAGGACATCACTCCCTCTCCGCGCCTAACAAATTCACCCCAGGGCTCCAGCCAGACCAACGCCACTTCTGCTCTCCTCGCCTCTCCCGGATGTGGAGTCTGCGCAGTCCGCGCGGCGCGACTCCGTCCCAAACGCCCACTTCCGCCGGGGCGGCTTCCGAGGGGGCTGCGGCCGCCGCCGGGGCGCGTCACGTGACGGGCCGCCCTCCAATGCCTCGGAGACCCCGCCCCAGGATGGTGGTGTGGGGGCCCAAGCGGAGAGTGGGTCCTGGCCTCAGGATCCCCACCCTCGCCATTCATGTCCACCCCCCATTTCCAGCACGATGGGTGGTCTTTCTAGATGCACAGGAAGTTAATCATTGCCCCTTTATTTGTCGGAAATTGCAGACCCATTCCCGCCGTCCCAGCACCCTGGGTAGAGAGGCATTAAGTTCTTTCATGGCTGAGGATGCAAGAATTGGAGTCAGTTGGCTGGGCAGGAAAGAAGCCAGCAAAGGCGAGCTTGGCGAAGACTTGAGGGGGATACATGAATAATGGGGGCGGAAATCGCATCCGCTTCCTTCAGAGCTCCAAGCTGGCCCTATCTTGAGGGGCTTTTTTGTTGGGTGTGTGTGTGATCCCTAGAGGGTATTTGAGTAACTCGTGAAATCCTTAGAAAAAGTATGTCTGGGCCTCTCCCTACGCGAGCTGTGTTTGCCTTTCTCCTTCGGGGCACCGAGAGTTCTCTCAGAGGGCCTTCCACGGGTTCTCGCAGGTGGACTGTGTCTGCTCCTCTCAGAATGACTATGTCGTCTCCTCTGTAAGGGGCTGTGATTTCTCCTCGCGGAGAGTCTGCGGCATCTCCTCTCAGAGGGACTGCGGCATCTCCTCTCAAAGGAACTTGGATGACTCCTCCCGGAGAGACTGTGATGGCTCCTCTGAAAGGAACTATGATGGCGCCTCCGAGGACTGCGATGGCTCCTCCCAGAGGGACTGCGATGGCTCCTCCAAGAGGGACTGAGATGGGGCCTCCTAGACAGACTGCGATGGGGCCTCCTAGACCGACTGCGATGGCTCCTCCCAGAGGGACTGAGATGGGGCCTCCTAGACAGACTGCGATGGGGCCTCCTAGACCGACTGCGATGGGGCCTCCTAGACAGACTGCGATGGGGCCTCCTAGACAGACTGCGATGGGGCCTCCTAGACAGACTGCGATGGGGCCTCCTAGACCGACTGCGATGTCTCCTCCGAGACGGACTGAGATGGCTTCTCCCAGAGGGATTGCGATGGCTCCTCCGAGAGGGACTGCGATGTCTCCTCGAAGAGGGACTGCTATGGCTCCTCGAAGAGGGACTGCTATGGCTCCTCGAAGAGGGACCGCTATGGCTCCTGTCAGAGAAATTACATGGGGTTCTTTCCCTATGGAAGCTGTGATGGCTTGATCTCTCAGGCATGAGTATCTCTTGACTGTCTGAGGTTCTCTTCTTAGGGGTACCATGTAGGATTCTCCCTTGGGCCTGAGCTCCGATTCCTCTTTTGGAGTTCTGGGACTCTGGGCTAGAGATTTCTTTTCTATAAAAGTTCTTCTTAGGTCTGCTGCCACTCTCATTTTGAACAGTATCCAAAGGGTATCTGATTGTGGTGACACTTTGGGAAACACTGCACCTGGACAGTGGGAAGGGTGTGTATTGGAGAGAGCTCTCTGTTTTTGGTGGTTGTGCTGAGCAGAATTGTTCTAATTCTTCCCATAGCATGCTCTGCTGTTCAGTGGTTGGGTCTGTTAGCTTTAGCTCGACAACTGGAATGCTTTCTCTTTCGACATCTCCTTCTAAAGTGTAGTCAGAGGCTTTTTGTTCTGGTTGGCAGTTTTTGCCTGACCACAAATGGTCCGCCCTTGTCCTGTGCTCAGGCTTTGGCCCAACAAATGCCATAATTCGGTGTGCGGTTTGGAATGCCTTTCTTAGTCCCTGAAAAAGCAGTTTAATGAATTTGGGTTGGGAAGATTTCTTGGGGTGTCTTTTTAAAGAGTCAGTAGTTGTCTGAGATGCTCCATTTCTTTTCCCTTCCAAGTGGGATGATAATTTCCTAGAGGGACTCTGTATCATGGTTCTGCTGTTTGTAGAGAACTTTTTGTTTTGTGTTCTAAACCTCTTGTTGATTCTTTTCATTGGATATTTTGAATCATGGGTATTTTTGCTTCTCACTTTAGTCCACTCTTCATCCTGATTGCTTTCAGAGTCACTCTCTGATAACGAGTGAACTTCAGTGACTTCATAGTGCCCAGGCTCTCCAATATCTGTCCTTCCTTCTAAGTCACGGCTAATATGGACTTGTACAGAAGCATGAGACTGGGAAGACTGAGAAAGAAAATTTATTGTAGAAGTAGGACTCTTGGAAGCTTGAGTACAGATTTTAGCTGGTGATACAGGGCTCCTTGGTGTCATGGGCCTGTCTCTTCTATAATACTTTGGAACTTGGGATCTTTTTCCAATTCGTAACCTAAAACCAAGACGCAATCTAATCTCTCCATGGCCTTCAGGAGTGCTTACAAGGTGGAGCTGTGGGTAGATAAGAAGATAAGGTCCAAAAGTAGTCTGTAATTTATGACAATTAAATCCTGAACAGCGGCCACACTGTAGGCAGATAGGGTATTTTAGGACCAGACCTGAAGTGAGAGGTGGAGGTACATTGTGAGGTATTTGACTCCTTAACAGTTTTGCTGCTATTTTTAGTTGCAGATCTTTTAGCAATTGAAACTGTTCTGAGAGGTCAGTCTTGGACTGGGAAAGAAAATTTGGCTCGAGTGGGTGTTGGGACTCAAAATCCCTTGTCTGTGAATCTCTCTGTGAGATCTCACTCTCTTCCACTGGAACAGGATCTTTCACAGTGAGAAATATATTGAAGGAAGACTCTTCTGACTCTTCTGGGTCAGGAAGCTGATCCCCTGTACATGAAACAGGAATGTGCTGAATGACTTCCTGGGGTGTATCATTGAGCTTTGAGTTTGTTTTCTTTATTCTCACTCTAGTTCCAGAGTATTGCTGTATTATGGAGGACATAGAACCACGTGTCCATATCCTTAAGGCCGTTCTTTTCTCCTGACCATGGCATGAAGTATGTCTCTGAATGTAGTTTTTGACCATTGAAGCCTGAAAAATAGTTCCTCGACCTGTCTCTAGCAGACTCTGGGAAAATTCCATCAATTCAGCAGGAACCCCAAATAAATTCTGAATAGATTGACAGGTATCAGGAGTAGACCTTTCTGTTAAAGATGTTTGAGAACAAAGCTTCCTTCCCATAGTGGTTCCCAAGACATTCCCCAACATTAGCATACTGGAGAGATACTTTCTAGGAAGTCTCTGCTTCCAGGAGTGACTCTCCCAGACATTCTGTTGTCTTCCCAGGACAGACCAGGTGAATCCTCTTCGAGCCCCTGATCCTGCCTGGAAGGTCTTAGATGGTGGTCTCCAGCTTTGTGGTGGATGTTGGGAGAGGCCCTGGAGTGAGTTCTCTAACTCTGCCACCCGCCTCAGTTGAATGCTCTCCTTAGATACGTTATACACCCAAGAGATCTCAGAGTGGGAGGTTTCTACAGAGTTGGTTGTCTTATCAGAGGGTTGGTTATGAAAGAACAAGGGAAAAGTTGAAGCAGGACCTATAAAGGACTCTTTAGGCTGCAAAATATCTGTCCAAATGTTTTTTATATTCAATGCTCTTGATACTTCTGCCATCTCAGAATCCCAAAGACCTAATTCAGATGTTTTGTTGACAGAACTTGAGATGACTGAGTTTGAAGAGTTGGGTAGAAGACTAGAGAAATAATTCCCTATTTGTAACTTTCCTGATGTTAACTCCTCAGATTCCCCCTTCTGATATACCTGTCTTAAATTCAAATCCTCAGATTCTATAACTCGAGGAGGCCTTATTTTTATACCTGTAGATTTCACAGCCTGATCCCCTTGTTCATGAGTCATCACTGTAGGAAGCTTGAATGGAGATGTTGGCTGTGAGGTTAATTCTGCAGATTTCACTTCAATATTTGATCTTGGATTTAACTCCACAGATTTTACTTTTTGAAAACATGATTCTGGTGCAAACACATCACATTTTAAGTCCCGCATCTCAGAGCCTGAAATCAAGTTCACAGAATTTGTACCACAAAGCAATGGCTCTTTGTTTATCTTCACAGACTTTATATCTTCAAACAGTGGCTCTGGTACATGTAATCCAGATTTTGCACCATTTAGTTGAGGATCGAAAACAGAGTGCCCAGCTTGTTGCTGTGACCCAAGGTGGTTCTGCAAAACTTGGCCTTCTGGAAACTTTATCTCCAGAGTCAATTTAGAAGATTTTACACTCTGCAAATGTGACCCAGGATTAAATAAAATAGACTTTGTGCCTTGAGATTCTGGCCCGGGGTTCAATTCAGAAGGATTCATGCCTTGTATCTGTGGCCCTGGATTAAACTTTATAGAGTTCATGCATTGAAGTTCTGACCCTGATTTCAATTCAGAAAAATTCATACCTTGCAGCTTTGGGTCAGAGTTGAACTCTGTTGTTATTATATCTGAAGTCAATTCAAAAGATTTTATACCTTGCAAGGATGGCCCATGGTTACATCTAGTAGAATTTACACATTGTAATTTTGTCCCTGTATTCAACTCACAAGGATTTTCACACTGCATCTGTAGCCTAGGATTGCATTCTAGGAACTTTGACCCTGGAATTAATTTAGATTTCAAACCTTGCCAATGTGGTCCAGGGTTGAGCACCATAGATGTTTCACTTTGAATCTCTGGATTCAATTCAGAAGATTTCATACCTTGATATTTTGAAACTGAAGTTAATTCAGAAGAGTTCACACCTTGCAAATATGGCTCAGAGTTGGACACCATAAATTTGACGTTTTGAAGCTCTGGCCATGGATTTAACTTAGAAGATTTCTCCTCTTGCCACCACTTTCCAACATTGAACTCAGGAGATATCACACTGTGAACCTCTGATTCCAAGGTCATCTCAGAGGGTTTTGC